AAAACTCATATAATTAATTTTGTATATATATATAAAATAAAAATGTATATCATTTATTAATTAATTAATTATAGAAATTTTTTTAATAATATTAAGTAATTAAAATTGCTAAATAATGAGGTTAGGTATTAAAGGTTAGCACCAGTGGGATGCCAATTATCAAAAATGATTTTTGGTTTTATTTAATGGTTAAAATAAATATACAAATAATCATATATTCAAATTATGCCAAATAATATTATAATAGTATACAGATTATGGATATATTGGAGGACAACCATAAAAAACTTGGAACCCTTCCTCTGGCATCACTTATATAAATATATAGAGAGATATGATATTTAAAGAAAAAAAGGTTATATAATAATTGTAAGAGCAGTCAACATAGCAGTCAACTGGTTTTGCTGTTTGTTAAACATTATTATTATTATTATATTATTTAAGGAGTAGTAGTAGTATTTGGTTTATATCTTTTGGTTTCCTTCAGAGAGCACATACACATAGAGCACACATACATAGAGTTTACAGTTGGATAAACTGGTGAACGACTATTCGTCTATATGAGACAAATAATAATTCACTGATATTAATGTATAAGTTTGCGATGGTTGTGGTGGTAGACATCACTGGTTTGTCACAATGTGTCGGTGCGCCTAATATTCATATAAGTCATCAATTTTTTTTTAAAAAAAAGTTGAAGGCTTATCACTAGTTTGTCGGGTCATTACTGACTATATATATATATATATATTGTCGTCTCGGATAAGAAAAGATTTGAATTTTAATGCCTTTCCAAAAGCGATTGACTGCACATCAATGTTAGGGCTTATCGCGAAACACACATATTATGATATTATTATTATTACTAAACATTTGCACTAAACACTAGTTTTTTATTTTTTCCAAGTTTTATAAGCAATTTATATATATATATACTGTGTATAATATACACTGTATATATAAGCATAAAATTTTCAACACTTTTATAATAGTAAGGCCCACACATCCATATAATATAAAGTATATTAATATATATTAATATAATTTCTATCTCTGTCTCTAAATATTTATTAATAATTGATATATCTTTTCGTTTCTCTCAAAAACTATTAGTACTTTTCCGTTAAAATATGTCTCTAATCGTAACTAAAAAATTATAAATTATTTAATAATATTTTTTTTCTCTACTTTACTATCGACAATAGTTATATTTAACATAATGTAAATAAGATTACTTTATATATTATTTTTTATCTTATTAAGTAAGAAAAAATATATTTTAATAACCATATGATTATGATTGAACTTTTTTAGAGAAAAAATTATAGTAAAGTAAAGTAAAACTAATATTTAGTAGAATTTTATTAGTTAACTAATAAGTAATTTAAAAATAAGTGTATATATGATTTATTTTCTTTTTGTTTCTTTATATATATAATCAAATATTAAAATTTTTTAAAATTTATTTTAAATATTAGTGACATTTATTAATCTTTTTTGAGAGAATTGTTTTCCACATGAATTCATTTGAGACATAATCACGACTTTGTGTTGAAAAAAGACTGGATTTTATTGCAAAAAATAAATACCATAATTAATAAACAAAACAAAAAAAATTATAAATATCATTGTTATTTAGTTCCCATTATTTTTAGTATTTCTCTCTCTCTCGCTCTCTCTCTCTCTTTCTCTCTCTCTCTCTCTCTCTCTCTCTCTCTCTCTCTCTCTCTCTCTCTGATTTAATAACAACAAAATATTAGTTAATTATGTAATATAAGTAACAAATTTTTAGTGCTCTCAACGATCTGATAACAACTATTTTTTCTTCAGTGACTCAATCATATTAACAATAAACCTGTAATTAAAAAACTTTACAAATAATATTTTACCGACACTTAGGTATACATAACTTATATACCTGTATATTAGGTATACAATCTGTATGACAAACATAGTAATAATAATAATAATAATTGTTAAATAATACGGTATTTTACTAATTTCTAATAGTTTTGTTTGCTTAAAAATAATAATAATAAACAATTGATTACTATTTTAAACATTATTACCCCAAAGGAATTGGTTTATTATGAAACCGGCTTAAGTCTGTATGTCTTACCTTAAAGTTATACATAATTGTGTCTAAAGTGTTGTTAATTATTTATTTGTTTTTAAAAAATAAAATTAATAAAAATATTAAATTTTGTTCTTTAATTGTTTATTAATATAATATTTAATATTTGAATTAATATTATATATATATACTAGATTAGTTATGATTAAAAATATATTTTATTTGTAAATAAAATGTTATTCTAATTATTTATTAAAATTAATAAATATAAATATATATTTAATAATTAATAATTAATTTAAATAATTAATTCTCTTTCAAATTTAATTAATTTACAAAATAGATTATAAAGTTTATTTATTCATATTACGATAAGTATTATTATTACTGTATATAATTGGAGACAAATTTTAACAAAAAAAAATATTTTATTTATTTAATTATATTAACATTTATTAATGAAAAATTATTTAAAAATTTTGCTTACGTGAAGTAAACAAGTCTACTACTATTCGTAAACACACACACATACATACACACACACACATACATAGAAACACACACACACATACATACATACACACACACACACACACATACATAGATACACACACACACATACATAGATACACACACACACATACATACATACACACACACATACATAGATACACACACACACATACATACATACACACACACACATACATAGATACACACACACACATACATACATACACACACACACACACACACATACATACATACATACATACACACACACACACACAGTAATATAATTTGCATTATTTATGTTACATTATTTTATAATAACGTTAAACACAAAAATAGGGGTATTTATTATACATACATTATATAACATTAACCCATACGTTTGATATCATCATAAAGTTAATTATAATTTGTTCATCCCTTATGCGTAAAAAGCATATTAAATATCTGTTTGCATATCTATTTGCCAGTAAAGTCTATATTATCTCTTATTACTAATCAACTCCTAAAATCCCAATGTATTGCGTGAATAAATGTTTGTTTTTTCAAATGTTATATATATATACTGTATTTAAAAAGTAAATTTATATATTATTAATCATAGACGACATCAATATCTAATACCTTGACGTCTGGTATTTTATATTATATATAATATTTAATAGTATATATAAACCAAATAAAACTTTTCATAAAAGTCTAAAATAACTCCAATTATATAACTCCTAATACAAGAGACAAAAATATATACAATTATTATATGATATGTATATAAGTTTAATACTTTATAAAAAAAATATATTTACCTGACATCAAAATGACAGTGATATTCAATGCAATTTTTATTTGTTTGTTGCTTAAAACTTGTTGTTATGTCTATTAGTAGTTTGCTATTTTAATAATACTAATCCAAATAAATATATATTTTTACTATTAATAGACTAATTATCTGTCATATTATTTCCATACTATCTGATTGCTAATTCAAATATAATACAATATAATAATAAGTTATAGACAAAAATTTGTTTGTTTTTATGTTGAATCCAATTATCAGACATGTCTTTATATATTTTTATTAGGTTTTAGTTCAAATTACATCTTAAAATGTACTCATTTTACTATTATTTATACACTGATATTGATGTCTATATCAAAATCAATATACCTTAGAAACAATATAACAGATATGTCACTATCTATTTATTGTAATATTTTATTTTTATTAAATAAATAAAAAACAGTTTACATTGTCATTTGTCACAAATACCGTATTTAAACAATAAGTTAATATATATATATATAATTTAAAATAATAAAAGTTGTCTTATTTTAAACATAAAATATTTTATGACATTAAAAAAATGTGAACTTATAATACATACATACAGTGCTAAGTATTACCTGCAAAATCAAATCTGTTTGAATCAGTCTATCGCTAATCGCAATCACAAAAAATACTGTGTATATACCTAACAAACAAAACAATTGCATCGAAAAAATAATAAAATAAAATAATACAAAAACAATATGAAATACTGGCATTAATAATGAGCTGATATTTATCAGTATTATCGGCGGAGACCTATTATATAACACACACACACACACAAGGAATTGGTGTTTTATGTCATATCATATAATAATCGGTTCTCTATTGCCATCGGAGGAATGTTATGCTAATCTAACAATAGGCCTGTTTTGCTGCTCTACTAACTTGAACCACAAATTTTCACTTAAAACATACATACAGACAGAGAGACGAGAGAGAGAGAGAGAGAGAGAGACGAGAGAGAGAGAGAGAGAACCAGCAAAACACATTAAGACATTGCTTTTCAAATTCAAATTTGAGTGATGGCTTATATCAAGTGAAGCCCAATAACTACAGTACAACACATAACTTACACAAAAGGTATGAAATAACTCCTTTAAGATCTCATTTTTTTATACTATACGGTATATTAATTTTTTCTAAATTTTTATTTGCTATGCTTTTTGCTGTTAGTATATGTCTATTGTAGTATTTTTCAAAATCAATGAGTTATGAGTGAATTCATGTGTAGTTTTAATAATAAAAATAAATAATAATAATAATGATTGTAATAACAGATTAAATACAGTTTAACATTCAAATTCAGTTTACAAACTGATTGCTGGAGTGCATTGAGTACGCGATATGAATATACATATACAGCGATTGGCATTTATTTTTTGTGTTGGTTTTTATGAATATAATGGTTGATATAATGAAACACTTGTTTTTTTTGGTTGTTGAAGTCAATTGTCTGATAGGAATGCAATAATGATTATGATTATGACACCAGTATTTTTTCAAATGATGAATATTAAATGCAAAGTCAAATATTTTTAGCCTTAAGATAAAACTAGTCTCTTAGCTAACACTTCAAAAAACTCCTTTTCCCCAAAACTCCAGTCGCTCTCTCTCTCTCTCTCTTTCTTTCTTTCTTTCTTTCTCTCCTCTATCTGAGCCTCAAATTGAATGCTTATATAAGAGTCGAGTCAGTCGTTAATCTGTGGGAATCCTTTTCTTCAACAAATTAATTGTTGGCTAAAGTTTTTGCACTTCAAAAAGCCTTTCACTGGTTTTGTATGTATGTGTGTGTGTGTTATCTTTAAAGCCTTTAAAAAAGTGATGTTATGTATGTCTAGCATATAAAAAACAGATTAAAATCTATGAAATATATTTATTATTATTATTATTTATTTGCTATTTCAAACTCAACCGTGTATTCAAACAGCACTGTTAGCCTCACCGCTCGTACTGTTATTTATCAACACATCTCTCCTCTTCTTCACAAATGTCTTATAAAATAAAAATTCTTTTAAATCTCAAACTAATTATCAATATTTGAATTTAAATCTTATTTTTTGAAGTCAGACATCAAACCATAATTGTCTCAAATAGTTTTGTATGTCTCGGGATATTGTAATATCTTTTTCAAGAAAAAATAAGAAACTAATAGTAATTTTCAAACAACTTTCCAATTTGTTTTACAAAGTTCTGTATAAATTTGTTTTAATTAATTTTAGTTTTGTTTTTTCTTGTTTTTTCATTTTATAAATTATATCTAAATTATAATAATCTAAACATATTTTATTAATTTATTATTTTTATAGACATTTGTTGTACCCCTTTAAAAAAATAACTGCAACACATCTATTAAATGTCAATTATAATTGAATTTTTATATAAGGAGTAAAAACATAAAATAAATATATAATATTATCATTATTATGATATGTGAATTAAATTATTTAATAATAATAATAATAATATTAACATTTTGACTGATGACAGTCATTAAGCTAACTTTAATAACAAGTTTTACACTAGTATTATAGCTTGTTAAACAATATTTTTATATATTTTATTTATTATACACATAGAAGCACACACATACATACATACATACACACACACACACACACACACACACACACACACACACATACACACACACACACACATACATACACACGACATAGAGAGAGAGAGAGAGAGAGATGTATTAATTACTTTACCATTTTTACATCAAATTATTCATATGTAATAAATTAATTATTGAACTCATTTTATCTTACAAAAAAAAAATAAACAATAAAAACAAAACAGTATTAAAGGCAACATTTTGTTTGATAAATGTGTTCAAAAACTAGTGTATAATAAATTGGATATAATTTATAGTAATTTTCTTTTAAGTAATGACCAAAGGGTGCCGTTTTTGTGATTGAATTAGCGTTTAATAGCAAAATTGATTTCAATATCATTATAATATTATATAGTTTAAAAACCAATAAAATGTAATATGTATTTAAATGTAGTAAAATGAATTAACAAATTATAATAAATATATGCAATTTATTATTAAATAAAAGATTTAATTTTTTTATTCAAAAATTTTTCTTATGTTTAAAACAAGACAAATGTCTAAAAATTTACAGAAATAAATGGATTCTTATTTTAAATATGTTTAAGACTCCAAAAAAAACTCCACCTATTTTTTCCTAAACTTTTTTATGATTTAAAACAAATTTATTAAAATTAGACACTTTATTTACAGACAAAAAAATCTATGCACACAATTTATTTTTATATATAATTTTTTTCATTTTATAATTCAAAAAACAGTTAATGTAATCTTTTTTCACATATAATGGATATATATATAGGAATATTATCTGCTATTTTTGTTGATATTATTTATTCAAGTATATCTCAGAAATCAAATTTGATTATCGATAAAAACAAAGTTTGTATTTAATAAATCTAAAGTAATTTTCTTATCAAATCTATTGAATTTGAAGACATAACACCTCCTCTTCAAGCCATCAAAAATGGTTTTTTGAAGTTTCTCTCTCTCTCTTTCTTGCTCTTGTTTTTGTCATTTTGTTGTTAAACTCCGAGAGTTATAGCTATAAATGATAGATATTGTAGAAAATTATTCAAATAAAACAAATCTAAACTCTTTGGCCATAAAAAACAAATATTGAGTTGGAAATGAAAAATTTCATTAATCATTAAAATACAATTTTATAAATTTAATGTAATTTATACTATAGTTTATTGCAATGTATTGCAAAAGCAGTCATTCAATTGGGACTTTGAACTTATATATAATTTAAGACTTAATTTATAGTAATATCTTTATATTTTTAAATATATACTATATATAAATATATATATAATTATTATAAACTGATATACACTTTGGCTGTTTGCAGTACAATGTAGTGCATGTTTTTTAAGAGTGTAGTGTATACTGTATTATGTAATGATATGATATGTGTATGTATTATAAATATTCATTTAAAACACAACAAAAAAAATGTTTACTAATAAATAGTTATTTAGTCAAAAAGCTCTTTAATTCTCTTAAGAGTTTAATAGTTTTAGTTCAATCAATGCCTGAATTTTCAATCAAAACATTTTTACGTAATTATCTCTATTACTACACATTTTAACGAAAGCCTTAATGGTTGGATAGGTTTTTGTTAGTTGTTTTTTGTTTTAAATATATATATATATATATATATATATATATATGTTTTCATTGCTTTTTTTAAAAAAGACGAGAAAAGACAAATCATTTATAATATATAATTTTTAAGCCAAATAATAAATATATGCAATCGATATGTGTGTATATGTTTCACACTCGGATTCTTCATTGAATTTAACACTTTTTAAAAAAAATTATTACAGTATTATTGTTTATTATATGAGTTATTAAATACACGTTTATACCAATAATAACTATATATATATATACATATAGATAGATAGATAGCTAGACTTTGGATCAAATATTGTTGTCAAATAAGACTGTTGTGTCAAATATTAGTTTTCAAACCGTCTTATCAAATATAATATTTTTATTTGCTTTGAAAAAATAATACTAAACTATAGTTAAGTAAAAAGATTTTCACCGAAAAGTAATTAATATAACATAAAGACATTTCATTAAGTGATCCGTTAAAAGAAAATAATTAAAAAAATATAAACAATTTGGTACTCAAATGTCTATTTACTATATTTTCGGGTCTAAATTATTATGGAAAACATGTCTCGAAGTTTTTAATTTTGATTAATAATTATTGTGAAAAATAAGACACTTTTTAAGTCTCACCAAAAAAGCTATTAACAGATATTTCAATAATCATTAAACACACTTTGTTTTGCATAAATGCATAATAACTTTATTTTTGATGTCTAACTAAAATTTATTGTGTAAGATATACAGTATCTGTGTATATAAAGTTAAAAAATATTTTTAAAATTCATGAAAGTATAATATCATACTAGCAATCATAATAAAAATTATAATAATAACAATCGACAAAAAATCATAGGTTATCTTTAAATAATAAAACGTAACTTAACTTTTGTCTTATCTATAAAAAAAACTTTTTTGAATCACTTTTTTATTTGTTATTTATTAAAGCAATCGTTAAATTCAATCAATGGTCCGCTTTTTTAACCGCTAATCTCACTGACAATATAATACAATACAATAACAGCAAGTATTTCACCGCAGTTTTAAATGTCTATTACATATACAGTATATAAAATAAAAAGTATATTTGAGTTAAAAGTTTTTTAAATAAAAGTCAAATATATATTGTTAGGAATTATTATCTTCAATGAAAAGGAGGCACAGGTATGAAATGTAAAATGGTTTATAATAATAATAAGAGACTATTATTTGTTAACTTATACTGATTGAACTCAAAACCTTTTTTATTCTCTCTCTCTCTCTCTCTCTCTCTCTCTCTCTCTCTCTCTCTCTATTCTTATATTATATCAATAGTTTGTTTTACAATAAAAATACTGTATATTTGACTCTTTTGTATTTAATATTACTGTATATACAGTATTAGATCATACATATTGTACTGAAAATTATAATACATGTATAGTCAGAAAGATTTTCTGTTAATTTGTAAAAATTAGATCAAATGAATAGAAATAAACAATTATTATATTATATTATATTAGTTGTGATAAGAAAATATATAAAAATTGTTTGGTTTTTATCGTAATAATAATAATAATATATAAAAAATTGTGAGCAATAATTTAATGACATATCTATATATCTATCTATCTATCTGTGCCTTTGACTGGTGACATAAGTTAGGCTAAAATGAAATGATTATATTATGTACTTTAATAATAATCATAACATATTTTTTAATATATAGATATAATATAATAAAAAAAGTAATCATTCATTTATTATTTGGGATATCAAACAGTTGAGGGATATCTCATCCCTTTCAAGTTTAACGAAACCACACGTTTAAACATATTGTTAACACACAAACACACTAAACAATAATAAAATAATAATAATTATGATTATATAGTAATCATATAATATAATAATAATTATTACTGCATTATTACTACTGTTTTTATCTTCAATCCCATATAAGAAATTCATTAAAGCGGTAAACCTTTTTTATATATGATATATACATTTATAATAATAATTATAAGTAATTGTCTGCAAAATACTTTCAAATCTTTGGTCACTTTTTTTATTAAATAAAAGAGTTGATAATTTTATTATATTGTTAATAATATATGTTATAATATATATCGTATAACTTATATATAAATAATAAAACACACATTTTTGTACTGTATATATGCCTTATCTCGATATGCCATAAGACTGTATCCCATTATTTTAGTGGTTCATAAAATAATATAATTATAATGATTATGATTATTATTATTAACAATATTTTGTATTATAAACAATATAATGTATTTATCGCAAGCTTATAGTACTCTCAATCTATTATTTTACTTTTTTTTATCATAAAAACAAGTGAATCTCAGAAAAATATGACACTAAAAAATATATATTATATATGTATAAGATTATTGCCATCAATAAAATTTAAACTATCTATACTTATAAATAAATAAATAAAAATATTTTATTTTATATAACTTATTATTGTATGAAAGACGGCGTTTAAATATTTATTAAAAGAGTTTTAATATATATAAAAGTTTTATATATATATTAGATATTAGATAGAAAATTGGGTTAAAAATTCTTGAATCTCTATTTCTTGGTATTTATTATTATTATTATAAGTTAATTATCATATCATATACTCATACAAAAAATTATTACCACAATATATATATATGATGACAATTTATTGTATAAATTTTTATAAATATTTTGATTATATTTATTAAAAAACTTTTTATTCTTTAACAAAATAAATTTATACAATTTTCAATCGATAAACCAAAAAAATTATTCAGATTTTTAGCTTTTATTTTATATACTTTATAATAAAATATAATGGTTTAGATATTTTATTAAACAAAAATAAATAAATAATTATTAGACAAATTTTATTTTATTATTATTATTATTATAATTTACTAGAAATATAGTTCAATATAAAAAAAAGTTTTATATGATTAAAATATATATATATATATATATATAAATGATTTAAACTAATATAATAAAAAAAGTTTTATGAAAATATTTTTTAGGTAATTTGAGAGAGAGAGAGAGAGAGAGAGAGAGAGAGAGAGAGAGAGAGAGAGAGAGAGAGAGAGAGAGATGAATAAAAGAAACATAAAGATTACACAATTTTTTAATAATCAAATATATAAAGAGATAATAAAGCAATTTATATATAAAAAAAAATATTAATTTTATTTTTCAAAAAATTAAAATTTTTTTAAAAAAATGTTTGTCAGACATAAAGTGGTTTTTTTATGTAAAGGAAAAATTAAATCTAAATAACTATTGAATAATAGGTGTGAATGAGTAGAACTATATTCTATTAGTGTGTGTGTGCGTATTAATAGTCGTACACATATTACATTACCCGTCAGTATTAGTAAATACATTGTGTTTGTCGATTGGGATAAAGACTAATCGCACTCTCCATTGGTAATAACACACACAATGCGCATAACTAGTGTGTGTGTGTGTAGCGCATGAATACATGACATCACAAACACACACATTATATACCAAAGTCCGGATAGTTTTCAAGTCAATAGAGAAATAAAAATCATTAAATCATAAATAATTTGATTTAATTTTTTTAATTTAATATATATTCAATATATTTAAAAACTAAACTAATTTATTTATTTTATATTATTTATAAAAACAATTTATTTGAATCATTATTAGATATTTAATAAGTTATTATATAAAAAAACATTGTTATTGATGTTATAGTAAACAAATCCGGACTCAGATATTACAGACAATATATACATAGAGTGTGTGTTAGTCTCTCTCTCTCTCTGTTTCTCTCTTTCTGTTAGTGTTTGTATTGAAAGAGTGGCTCACATAGTGTTATGAGTTATTAGTAATGTTGTTGTTGTGATGTTAGTGTCACTCAACGATCAATGGATTTCCAGTCAATGATGGAGACATTTGCCGAGGCGTGGGTCGCGGCCAATGTCCAGACGCCACTAACCGAAGCAGTCGAAAATGTCGGCCGAAACAATGCGGCCACAATCAAGTCGTCGACCAATTTGCCCGTTCACTGTCTGGTCGAAAGAGTATCGTCGCCGGCAAACAATGCCTCGACCACTACCACCACCAATACGACTCTGACGGGAACATCGGCCAGTTCGGCATCGATGGGTACATTTGATGTACTAACTGGACATACATCTGGCACTACCTCATCGTCAAGTGTTGACTCTACGGCTTCAAGTTTGGCCAATAGTTTGCCGGTTGTTGTCGAACAGGACACTTATGCCATAATACCGTCGGCAGTGCCCTTTCACGATCTGGTGCGGACAGCACTACTCAAACTCGGCTATACATCGGCTGAAATAGTCGGCGCCAAAGGTATGTCTCAAAAACCATTTCTCTGTTAAGATTATTGTTGTCATTAAGAGAGAGAGAGAGAGAGAGAGAGAGGTTTTATGTGTTTGTTGTGTCAATTGTGATGCCATTAATGTACTATAGATTAGCACTTATTATATAATAAAATATAATATAAGTTATGAATAGTCTTAGTCTTCACACACGACTAATCACTGCTTTATTTCATTTGTATTATTATTATTACTTTTAGTTTCTCTCTCTTTCTCTATCTTTTCTATCACTTCTTTATATATTTTTACTTATACTTTAAATTTATTTTTCTCTCACTTTTATTATCATTCATTACATTTGGCTGTCTGTCTATTTTACTGGTTATGTGTTGTATGTATATACTGTATATATATATTGTCTATTGTTATATAATATAACGAGTTGTGGGAGTTTTGCTTTTTTTATTATTGAAAAAATATTGGGCGTAAAACATCCACTATTTTTAATGTGATATCCAATATTGTCCCGAATATCCACATTTGGATCAAATTGTTGCAACGATTTTCATGTTTTAATGGCTAACCAAAAATAAAGAGTCTCAAGAAAAACAACGATATGATTAGCTATTAAATGGGCTTAACATGTGTTATAAAGTACAGAGAAATATAACCAATTTAACTGACCTATCGTTGCCTCTAATTTTTGACACTAATGTCCCAATTAATGAGTACTCAATACTTTGTTATAAATGATAATACCTTTTAATTTGCTGTACACTACAGTATATAGCTTTTAATAGCGTATATACTGTAGTAAAACATATCTAATGGACAGTTGTTTTTAATAATAAAAAAGCTTGTGTGTTATAGTAGCGATAAATTTAATATTTATGTTGAGATAGTTTATAAAAATGTATGAAATGGTTGTGCAGTATATATGTTAAAGGCGTCAGTTTGATAAAAATTTGTTAAATACAGAGAGAGAGAGAGAGTATATCTAAAGATTAAGAGCGGTTCCCAATAGTGTATATACTGTCGATAATCCGCTTACACCTGACGTGTGAGCCCTCTATGCGATGGCAAACCTACTCTATTGTCTGACAGTTTGCTAACCTTTTTTTCTCTCCAATAACAACACAACAACAGTACTATCTATACAATTGAATCGAAGCCATAGTTAATCCTAACGACTAATCCATCCTTAAATAAAAACAGCACGAAATGCAAGACTCGGATAGTATTAGATAGACATTGCTGTCACTGTAACCGTTCCAGTGATGGCATATATATATATATATTTATATATTGGTAGTTACTATACCACATACCGGTGTCACCAAATAAATACTAAACAGCAATAAACATAACAACTTTAATCTTCTGAAAAACTTAATCTCAAATATCCTAAATATTTTTTAGTTTAAGTTATACACTATTGGTAGAAATGTTGACAATAAATAATTTTTATCTCCTTTTATATATATAATGTATATACAATTTTGTGAATAAAATAATGGAAAGACATTTTCCAATATTGATTTATTACTTTTTGTATACAAATTTTTATTTTGATATTTAAATAGTAATAATGAATATTATTCACAAATAACTTATTTTTCATTAATAATAATAATACTAACAATAGATAAATTGTAAATTGATTGACACGTTAGAAGTTGATTACTATTGGTCAATGCATTGATTATTTATTATATTAGTCTAACAACTATTTATTTTGCTATTACTGTATTAGGTTTTTGTTAATACAATTTTATTACTTGTGTCAATATCCTTATGATAGCTATTAAGTATAATTTTGTGTGTATAATATTATTACCAGTATGTGTAATATATAATGTACTTTATTTATAACGATAAATAGAGTGAACTATTTGAAATGAGAGTTAAAATAAATAATAATAATATATCAATAAAAAAATAGGTTAATCCTAAATAAAATAATCCCCCAAATTATTGTAAAGTCAAAATGTATAGTACATTAAGTTGTCTCTCTCTCTCTCTCTAGAAGTAGGTTTTATTAATAATCAAAATGTTTAGATTAGATATGTACTGCAAAAACTAATCAAATTTATCAATTGAGGTTTAAACATGAGTTGAAAATTATATACGATTTAGCTATAAATATTGTTATTATTAGTATTTATATATTATCATGCTAGTTTATTTTATATTAATGATAAAGTGTTAGAGAATTATCTGAATATGTAAATAATGGTGTGTCTATGGTTTTGCCTATGTATTGGGTGTACAAATTAAGGCACACAAAAAAATGGTAATAACAATGAATATATTTGAGTTAATAAGCGACTATGACTTATGTGAATGTGTTATGTAATAGTGATTAATACAGTGGTTTGAAAAGGAGGCACACAATGGCAACAAAAGAAAAAGGCAATACATATGTAGAGAGTGTGTGTGTGTGTGTGTATGTATGTATGTGTTTGGCAAACCAGTAGTAATAGTGTAGTAATAAATGCATTTATGACGGCATACGTTGACAAGAGAGTGTACATCCCCTCATCTCCAGCATTGAGTTAATCCATTGATAGGCAGCACAGCTTTGGTGCTAATCATTGGATAACTCATGTGAAACATATATATATATATACAATGATAGAAAATGCTGTGCTATTTGTTGTTGTTGTTATGTATGAATCTTTTAGCCACAAAGTCTGTCAATACGTGACCAGTAGTTAATGTAAAGAATTTGTTTCACTACTACTACCACTTCTAGTAGTAGTAGTAGTAGTAGTACTGCATAGAGACCAGACCTTAACCATTATTCAATAAATCCATGTCTATGGGTATAATTTGAGACTTTAAAGTTTAGACTGTATGTGTGTGTGTCTATACTAGTTGTTACAGTCAAATACTATATAAACACTGTGTATGCAGTTATTAATTCAAGCTATGCCTTCAGTCAATAACTATGAATATGAATACTTTATATTTAATGCATGATTTTTTGTTGTTGGACACAAACTTCACTGCATATCTTATCGCAGCTTTAAGTATATGTACTTAAAAGCTAAATGTAATGAAAAAAATTTGCGATTGTGAGGCAGCAAAGCTTATCCCACATTATATCCCAATGCATTCAATCATTGAGACAAAGACATGGATCAGTGTTATCGTCAAAAAAAGGAAAGACACTGCAAATACTGTCTGTATATAATGTATATAACTATTGGTATGGAACCACTCATAGCTCTTATCAGACATATTTTGATGTATTAGACACTCAAACGACTTAAAACTCAAATTATAAAGTATTAAACTTTTTTTAGAAACTTAAATAACAAAACAAAAAAAAAGTTAAACATTGCTTATATATTGTTAGTACAGTATTATAGTGAAGTTTTGAATTAGAGAGTTAGTCACCAGACATTCCTCAACTCATCGACAATCATATTATATAAGGATTTAACAGTAAAGACAAGTTTATAGGCATAACTCGTGAATCTATCTCTTGTTTTTTATATTTATATATGAGGTGTCGTCAAGAGTCGTCCCATTCCGAGTCACTTAATTGGAGTCTCTCTCTCTATGCTTAATCTCAAGGACTTCCAGTGAGGGAGTTAGGGTCGACATTGAGCGCCGACACTTGATATGGTTTTTAGTATGATTAGCCCCCCTTTAGTGTGTTGTATGTATACCCTGAGCAGCCCTTATGTATTTTATAACCCGAGATTTCAGTGTTTAGTTTGGTTTAAATGTCTGCTGCAATCTCTGGTTTAGATCTATTGTAAAGCATTTGCTTGATTTTGTCCAAAAAATCCCTGACAGCCATTGGCTCAGCACTGGTAGGGATCAAAACTTAATCTTCAGCCCTAATATTTAATACTTGATAGCAAAGCATGCGTTGAATATGAAAAACGATTTTTTAGTAGAGTTTAGACGGCAATCGATGTGAAGCTGAGAGCCGGATAATACCCGTCTAATTACGGGGTAGAATAGGAGTGAGCACTCATCCGATGCTAAAACTTTTGAGTTATAAGTTATAACTGGAATGAGAGGAGAAAAAACTATATAACATATATAATATTTTGTAGGATTCAAATGCAATAATATTGTTATATATATATTTAGACATGAAATGTATGGCAACTTCATGTCTAACAAACAGTTAATCCTGTCATCATTTGACAGATAGTCATCTAAAGCAAGGATTAACCATAAAATAAAGTTTTGAGATACACATCACACACACAGGGATGACTATATTGGTAGAGATAAGGCTTTCAATATATACCACATCTAGTTTGGCATCACTACTATATAACGCTTTCTATTTGTGAGGATTTTATATTATTATTATTTTATGTACTCTAATAATAATGACAGGGATTTAGGCTTTAGCTTTACAGACAGTAGTTTATGCTCTAAATAAAAGTTATATAACTATTGTTATAATGATTATATCGATGCCTGTGTGTGTCCTCAACAAAGTTTCACTTATTTTAATGACACAACAATTGTTTATCCTATTTCAATACCCTTTTCATATTTATATATTAAATATTTTAAAACTACAAATATGTCGTAAAAGTTGCTTTTATTAAACTTAATTAAAACTCTAATTTTTATGTTAACATATTGATTGACAGCACAAACCGATTTTTAATCATACATTTTACGTATTGATTTAACGCTTCATATGTAAGACAAGACGCTTTTTAAGTAGTAATTTGCTTACTTAATATATACTGTATATAAATATTACACAATTTGTGTTTATTTTGTTGTGTGTGTGTATTGATGTATATATTTTTTGTCCATTTGCTATTAAAAATGTGTGCATTTTTTGTGTTTCTCTGTCTAATGCTATTTATATATAAATACAACTTATCAGTCGATTCACAACTAAATTGCTTTAAATGACTATTTTTAACACTGATTACTATTTATGCCATTATTATATCAGTCAGTATTTCCTTTGCAGAAACACTCACTTATTTTAGATTAACAGTCTATTTGTTATCATTTTTGTTTCTCTTTCTGTGAAATACACCACTAATTCAAACATTTACAACACATATTATGTGTCTCTAAATAACAAGCCTTAAATTTATAGCTAATCATTACATATATGGATATTAATAAATCGTTGTCTATATTTGATTATATGTTGTTTTTTGTTTTGACTATTGAATTATGATTTACCATAATTTATATAATGTATAATAAATAATTCGTTATGCTTTTTATTTAGTTATTTATAATATCAAAATTTAATTAATATCAATATCTTTAATATAAAATTATAATAATTTATGCATAACTTTTTATTGATTTATTTAATTTGATGTTTTGCAAATGTATTCAATTTAATTATAGAAATCATTATTATTAGCACTTAATTAGTATTTTATAGGTATTAAATATACTATATATATACTATATATATATATATATTAGATATTAAAATAATCTGTTTTTTGAGTCCAATAGTGAATTACGTCAATAGTTATTAAATAATCCAAACGTAAAACTACTTTCATTAGCTCAAGACTTCCTCTTGATATTTAATAGTAGTCTTAAATCAACTGTTGTTTAGATCAATATATTATTTCAGTCAATATGTGTAAACTATACTATATATGAGTTTTATTGACTTTATTTTTAAATTTTATTTTTTTTTGAAAAATAATATTTTTAAATATATTTTATTTATGATTATTCTGAGAATTAACACTATATATAGTTATTAATATAAATTATTATATAACACAGTATTATCTATATGTAAAGGAAAAGTGCTTTTTAAAAATACAATTGCATTGATATTGCATATGATTATATGTCACACAGAAAAGGCAAATATTAAATAATAATGTCTTAAAACATTTGATTAGTAATTTTTTATTAATAGATTATTTTATGGCTAATTATTGGCAAATAATATTTTGTGTTGTATTAAAACTAACGAGTAATTATTTATTGCATAAAAAGTACTTTAACTACACTTACCCTAACACATACACACATATATACACTGTATTTGCAAATACATGATAATCACATAAATTTAAAAGTAAAATTTTTTAAGCCTCTCTCTCTCTCTCTCTCTCTCTCTCTCTCTCTCTCTCTCTCTCTGAGTCCATTAAATATTATTTTTATGACTTTAAAAATTGATTATTAGTTTTCTTTTTTAAAGTCTTTATATATATATATATATATATATATAATTTTTTGTCTCTGTCTGATAATTATCACAAAATCATTCGTTCGCATAAATACACAACTATTTTAATAATAATATTTTTTATTAATTTACTTTCATTTGTTTTTCTCTTCAAATAAAACCTTAAGACACCATTATTTTTATTAGATTTAATAATATTATTATTTTTTATTTGAGGAGAAAAAAGTAGAAAATATTTTTTTCTTAAAGATTCATTTAATGCCATCATATGTTTTGATACAATTTTGAAAGTCTTGAAATCATTAGTCAAAAAAGGATTGTTTAAGTGAATCACTAAAATATGTTTGCATTTCATTCACTGTTAATGTCGTTAAGCTTTCTCTCTCTCTCTCTCTCTCTCTTTCTTTAACTCACTCTTTGATAATCATAATGTGGTTCTAAAAACTTAATCTTTTCTTACTTTAAAACTCTTTGTTTTTATATTTTTTTCTTTAAATTTATTATTATTTAATAGCATTCAAATGGTATATATCTTGAAGTGAACAGTACTACTACTACTACTACTATATTCCCCATAATTTCTCTCTCTGATGTCTACCCAATTCCTACGCATATTTAAGGGCTTTAAAACATTTTTAACGATTTTTAATAAGTAAAGCCCAAAATCGAGACTTCAAAATAGGTTTTTACGTTTTCGCATAAATGACTTCCAACTTATTTTTTTGCCTAAACTTATTTTAACGAATTTTATACTTTAAAAATGTGTTTAATTTTTTCTATAAATTCAACTCTACATATGTATATATACTTATAATATACATACAATTGACAGAAAGGCATATCAGAGAAAAAAAATATAAATATAAGTTGAGTTATACACTCTATTATAAATATTGGGATTTAAAATCTTTATATATATAATATATATATTTATGAAAATGTATATAAAAATTGTCTAATTCTGTATCCTTTTTTCATCTCTACAGTTATATAAAAGAATTATATTATTTTATTTATATATAATATGGTATATAAAATAGTATTGTCAAAGAATTTGCATTCGGCCTCAAGTAATGAGCCCCACATCACAGCAATACTACTACTAGTTCTTAAGCATAGGCTTTACCCCATATCTAACTCAATGAACCAGTAGTGAGTGAGAGAGAGAGAGAGAGAGAGAGAGAGAGAACTCTCCCTGAGCTTAGAAAAGCAGCTTTTTTGCTAATGCTATGCAAGACGTAAATACTTTCCCTTTTTAAATAAAAAAAAACTCGTATGACTTGTCTTTTTAGTGTATGAGTTGAGCATATATGCAAAAAAGGCTAAAAGCCGGCAAATTTAATGCATAAAAAGCTTTTTTCTCTCTCCTATTCTTTCTTTACTGTTTTCCCCTTTTTCTTACTTTTAAAAACTTATATAAACTCTCTCTTTCTCTCTCTCTCTCTCTCTCTCTCACTCACTCACTCACTCATTTGAATGCTCTTCCATATCTCGCTCACTCACTCACTCACTGACTCAACTATCTCTCATTCATTCATTCAGTCATATCAAACCTAATTCCTTATTTTTACAGTCATTTCAAATACAAATCAATTCTTATATATAGTATTTTCATAACTCTCTCTCTCTCTCTCTCTCTCTCTCTCTCTCTCTCTCTTATAACATCAAAATCTACTATTTTTTGTTATGAATATAATATTTTTATTCTCTTATCTCTAAATTAAAATACAGTCTATTTTTATGCCTTTTACTTATGTATTATACTTATAAAGCCTTTATTTGCATTTTTATTATGTTTTCTATATATGTATATATAATATAATATTTATATTACAATTTTTGCATAAAATAATCTAAAACTAATTGAAGAGAATATATATATAAGAAATGCATTTATAAATATATCACCTGATATTAGAAGACAATAACAATCGTTTTAGTTATCAATAAGTATTGTTTTATATAATGATTTTTTATAGACTTCAATGATCTTATATTATTTGGTTTTTTACTCCAAATAAGTGTTATCTGTTTATTTAATATAATTCCTATGCATACTTATATATATTGTATATATATATATATATATATATATTTGTAAATAAACTTAAATTATCCCAATGTGTTTTTAAAACATTTATAAAAGTAATAGTAGTATCAATAGAAAAATATTTACGGCATTTATAGTAGTAATAAATATTATTTAGTAATCATAGTTAATATCAATAAACTATAGCATTAAATAAATAAATATATTTTATATATCTTTTATTATTTTTTGTTACTGTGGCTTATAAATTAATAGCAAACAAAAAATGCATATAAATTGCTTTATTAATGATTGACTTGTATTTATGTATAACAGGTGTGATTCAGTTGAAGAACTGGAAGCCTTTAACCTTTGATCAGATCAGTGATAATAGTGAGGCAACTGTTGCTGACATATTGGGTGATATCTCATCGGTGGCTACTCTTCGCATCCGACTTTACAGGTATTATTTATTATTAAGATTAACAATTACACGTGTTTTAAGTTTATTATTATTATTTTAAATATTGAGAGCAAATTTCAAAAACAATTTAATACACAATTAAAAAATTATTTTTATTATCATAATTATTATCTATATTTTAAAATTAAATAACAAAAAAATCAATTATCAATGTCATTAAAGAGTATGTATTGTATGACCAAAAAAATATAAGTAACAAAAACAAATGATATGTGTATTGTTATTGTGTGTGTATTTTGAGTATAAACAACCCGTAATAATGTTTTTAAGTTAATTTTATAATAATAATAATAAAAAAGGGTTAATAAACGTTAATATTTGGATAATAGGCCACGTATGAACGCGGCTCATGAGTTAAAGGACAAACTGCTTCAGCTATTATTGGCCCACTCTTACAGCCTACTGGCCAACTCTGGTTGTCCTATTGATCAGGTATGTCATAATCCATCTAAATTATTATTATTTTTTTTACATGTTTAACTATTTTAATTAGATTATAGTATTATATTTTTCTATGCATTTTGTTTTCTAAGTTAATTAGTCTAAATCTTGAATTTTTTTGTCAACTAATATAATATTTAAATTAATTTTTACTGAATCTGGGCTCTCGTTTAGTATTAATTTTTAGACATTGAGACCAAATATAGTTTGACTTTATATTTGAGTTTATTTGAAATCAAGCAATCGCTTAATAGATAATAAATAGCAAATGACTTTGTATTTCAATTAATAATTGTTGACTCAAACATTAAAGACACTCAATAGTGTCGACTATAAATAAAATGATAATTAATTATTTTTATTAAGTAAACTTAGATTTTTTGTTTTGTTTTATTGTCTGCTGCTGTTTGTGAGCAACAATTAAGTGACAATTATTTAGCTGAGGATACATGATATAATCATTTTTACAATAATAATAAACTAATTTTCAATATATTTATTAATTGAAGAGTTGCTAAAATAGCAAAAATTATTACTTTTATTTGTTTGTTTTCATATTGAATTTATCTTTCAATTTATTATTTAGTAATTTTTATAAATAATGCTAAATTTGAGTCATTAATTTGCTTATGATATGTGTTTATATGAAGTAGTAGTAGTAGTACTGTATGTTGTTTAATACTGGCTGCTAACTCAAGCTTAACTATTACTAATAGGAGTAGGCTTTTTAGATACAAACAACAATACTTTTAATATACTGTAGTATAATATTACTAAAGAGGAAGCTTTTGATCAAAAAAGTTTAATAATAATTAAAGTTAGGAAAAATATGAGATTAAATGCATTTTTATGAAAATATATATACTATATAAATTGATTTGCATAAAACATAATATCATATATTATATATTAAAATATTTTGAAGTCTAGTTTGAAACGAGTGTACATATATTTAGTGATAATTCGTGTATTGGAATATTCATGTGTTGTTGTGTTTGTAATGAATACACTCTTTATTATAATATTATTATTCAGTACTAAAGGCTTAGGCAGTTAGAGATGAGACCTAATTTGATTCCCACAAACATATATATATATATTATTACTATACATATATTTATACTATTCAGACACACAAAACTTAATCTTCATTACGAAGGATTAAAGTCTTGTAGGAATTAAAGATTGCTTTTTGAGTCTCTGTCGGTGCCGTTTGATGTATTCAATAGTAATGAGCTTTCATTTCAAAAATGTGCACAAATTTTTGTGATTATCAATTTTATGTTAACTCACATCCCAGTCCCCTATACCCCAATGCCTGTGAAAGAGAGAGAATACTGCAAACCTCACTGTATATAATAAATACCAACCAGTTCTCTCTCTCTCTCTCTCTCTCTCTCTCTCTCTCTCTCGGCTATATATATTATAAAGCCTTTCAATATATTGTATAACAGAAATGTAACGTTTTTTTTATTTTTAAATAATCCCTAACTTTAAACTCATTTAATTATTAATATCATTATTATTGAATAAAATCTCATTATTAACGCAAACATTACTTACTCTAGAGTTTTAATACCAAGTTTTCTAATTAATATTAATTTTCATAGCAAATGCTGAATGGTTTGTGTAGACCAGGAATGGAACAGGAGATCAACGATGAAACGAGAGGTCGTTTCGATCAATGGTATTTGCAACAGGTGTTCAACCATTACAGACAGGTAGCACTGGCCTCACAACCACAGCCCCAACACCAGCCAAATACACGGCGACAGACAGTATCACATCCATTACTAATTGATATGAACCAAACAAATGGTGAACAATTGCACCAGAATTTAGCGATGAATGGATCGACACATTCACCTGATAAACACCCGGCCCTTATGACAATCTCTCCGCCATCCACTCAATCGCATCATAATATGGGATCAGTCAGAACACGTATACGAACCTCATTTGATCCAGAATTAGAACTACCAAAACTTCATCGATGGTTCCAAGAGAATAGACACCCATCAAGAGCTCAGGTCATGGAATATGTCAAAGAACTGAACTCATTAGAGTCAAGAAAAGGTAGAAAACCATTGGATATCAATAATGTTGTCTATTGGTTCAAAAATGCCAGAGCAGCTCATAAAAGAGCCGAATTGAAGTTTGTCGGCGACTCGACCGGTGTCGACGGACTGGTCAATGACGGAAGTCCTGGAAAGACTGGCTCCGACATCAGTGGCAAATGTATGGATGATTCCAATAGAAATGGTTCGGCAATCGATGATTACTATAGTATGGATGAAGACGGGGATTCATCACACGAGGCCACACAAACACTTGATCTATCAATGAGATCATCTAAACGAATGCGATCTGAGAGTCCTACCGATAATGACGGCGATTATTTGATTACCGCCATTAAACACGAAGACGATATTCATAGTAATGATATGAATAGTTGCAGCAATAATACTATTACTAATATTATTATTAATAATAATAATAACGATATAAATTCAGTCATCAAAGTTGAACAAATGGATAGAAATAATGATGGATCCAGTGATCTAAGCGAAGCTGAAGACAGTGACGAGGAAAGGGAGTACTTTGATAATTCCTATCAAACAAATAGTCAAATAAATAACAATTTAACTAATAATATGACATCACTTCCCGAATCGCCTGATGGTCGACGCATACGACGAAGTCGTACATTCATAGACCCAATGTCTGAGGTATATCTCATATTAATTTAATAGAAATTGTTTTATTTATTTTATTTAAAAAAAAAACATTTTGAATAACCACAAAAAATTATATGACTCACCAAAATCTACAGGTGCCTCGTTTGGAGCACTGGTTCTCAATCAACACCCATCCCGCTCACAGTCAAATAGTCCGCTACACTGAAGAACTAAATAACTTAGCCTATAGACGAAAGTTTCCAAAACTTGAGCCCAAAAACATACAGTTCTGGTTTAAGAATAGAAGAGCCAAATTCAAGCGCAACCTATCTATGCCAACACCAACACAACACCCGACAACACCGCATCACACCTCACCACAGTCATCGGCACTAAATATTGAGCGTCTCATTAATGCACATTAAAATTAATAATAACACACACACTAACTGACTATTATATTATATTATGAATTTATCATTAATTAATTGATAAATTAATAATTTTTATATAAACTATTAATATAAGATGATTAATAATTGATAGATTTTAAAAAAAATAATTTGAAATGAGAGCCTCTCCCTCCTAGTCTTTATAATCTAAGTTTATATACAAACGCTTGTTATCTATTTTATTATTATAATTATTATTAATTATTGCTTTAACAGATTATGAAGTCTTAAATATATATATATATATATAATTATACATAGAATATATATATACAGTATCACTATTAAATATAATTGTAATATAATTGTAAATAATATACATATATATTATAATTGGGTTTTGGCAATATTAGTAATTATGGGTTATATATTATATAATTGATTAACTGTTTTACACATTTAAAAAAAAGTTGAACACAACAAACAATACATTATATCACAAAAAATCACTTTCAATGACCACTACTTTGACCAAAAAAAAAAACAAAGAACACTAATAGCTATAAAATGCATTCCATTTAATTAATTAATTAATTAATGATAACTTGTATCCTATTATTATTATATATTATTTATGGAAATATTTTTTTTAAATCCTAGTCTTTCTATGATTACAATCATTTTTTTATAATTACGGTAATTACCTATGAATACGATTCTTATGTTTTTTAAAATTAATTTTATGATAAATTATCAAACAAATTGCGATCAATTTAAAAAAAAATGATTCTTTAAAAACAAAACTAATGAAAGTATAGCCAATACCACAACAAAAACGATTGACTGGAAATACTTTTGTTAATTCTCTCATTTTTATTTGTCAATTATTTTTAATATAATTATATACTGGAAATCTTTAATATTATTATTATTATGTTTTATTATTTGCAAATTTTATTTATTCATAATTTTCTCTTTTTTATTAATGAATTTTTATATTTTTTTGTAGTAATAATTATTATTAGTTTATATATATATATATATATATAATATTAAATAAATAAAAAAAGAAATACAATTGTTAATAATAGTTTTTATTCTAGAGAATACTACTACTACTACTACTAATAATAATAATGAATATTATTAATAATAATAAATAATAATTTTTAATAGACATACTTTTTACATTGAATTTGATTGAACAAAAAATTGTGAATAAATTGTAAAAAATTGAAAATTGCTCTCAATATTTGTTAGACTAACTTAAATGTTTAAACTAATTTTATTATCTTAGAAATAATACACTAATACAATAACTTTGATTGGGCAGGATAATTTTTTAATTATAATCATGATAATTATTAATTAAAACATGTTTGGATAAAATAATACTTTATGTCTTAACTATGATATGATATAATTACTTAATATTTATTATTTTGATAAATTAAAGGTAAGTCATATTAAAATAAAATAAATCATGAATCTATAAAAATAACAATAGATAATATATTATTTATTTTTAATTATGATTAATAAAAATTGATTTTTATGTAAGTAATTATAGTAATTATAGGTTAGAAATTAGAACAATTATTGATAGTATTAGTTTTTATGCTATAATTACTATAAGTAATACATTTATATTATACCTATAGTATCCTATAATATTTTAAACATTTTATTTATGTTAATATCAATAGAAAACTAAAAATTATCAAAAATTTAATATTATACGGTACTATAGGTATAATATTAAATTTTTGATAATTTTTAGTTTTCTATTGATATTTACATAAATAGAAAGTAATTTTTAAAATGTCATTTCTTATATAAAATACATTATTATAATATACAGTATATTGAGTGAAAAGATAATATTTATTTTAGTTGATATTTTAAAAAAGTTTATTGAGTATAGAATTGTATGATTTATTTAGTTTTATCCAATAAATCTCGATTTTTCAGTTTATATTTAATTCTGAGTTTATTTTTGTTTATTGATATTTTGATCTGAATTTTTTGAAAAATTTATATGAATTAAATATCTTAACACAATTTATGAAAACAAAATAATATTATTTTATTAATTGAAATGTAGTTACTAACTTATTAAAAAAAATTTTGAATCGTTAATTAAGCAGTATTTGCTATAGTTTAATTAATATTATTATAAAAATAATTATAATAATAAGGTTTTGAAAACATCCATAAATTAGTTTTTTAAATATCCTAAATAATGATGATTAATAAAAAAAATTAAACCGATTGTGTGACACCAAAAAAAACAGTTTAATGACGACTATACCCGAGTGGACTCAACACACTGTCCGGGAAGCCGTTCTCGAGTTGTCCCGAGAAATATCTCAAAGCAAACTATCAAAACTGTGCCAAATATCTCAGGTTTGACAACAAAATTAATAGACAATTAATTAATCATTTAATTAATAATAATTTTTAAAAATATGTAAAATGTATATACATTTTTCTCAACTCAATTGTTACCAACTGATGGCTTATGATGTTTCAACAAAATTTAATGACAACTATTATTTTAATAGCCATTACTATCGAGTATTGTGAACAACAAGTTTGAGGGAAAAATCGGTAAAAAGAAATGCCAAGAGTTTGGCAAATGGTATACTGAGTATAGACTCTCACAAAATAAAGGTTTGTTATAAATAATTATATAAATATCATTTCTTATATAATTTATTATAATTTATATATTTTATGTGTTTTCAAATAAAATAAAAATCTTGTAATACATATCTAATATTTTATTGTTAACTATATTTTCTAAATATTTTTGTTAATATATAGAATAAATTAAATAAAGAATAGATAGAAAAGATATTTTAATTAATAAGTCTATAAAACTTTATTTATAAACTAATTATATATAGTATATATAGTAAATATAATGCACTTTATCTTAATAAAATCATTTTTGAAATAACCGTATGTTAATTGTATATGAATGAGATTATTGTAATTTTTATATATATTGTAGATAGTATTACCTATTAAATACACTAAGATATTAATAAGGTATAGAATATTAATATACATTTTTAATACTACAGTATTACATGTATTGTTTAACATATTATACTATTAGATATAAATATTTTATACAAAATAATTTTTAACTTCAATTCATTCACATTAGCCTCAAGTAGTAGTAGTGGTGGTGTTAGTAGTAATGAAAGCCAAAGAAAAAGTGATAATTATTCAGATGAAACAATTGATGAAAAGTCAACAGATTTGGAGCCAAATATGAACCAATCATCCAGTAGTCAGTCGACGACAACAAGCGAAACGAGATTAACACTTCATTCAAGCCTTGAAGTGCCACAACTTAGACAATGGTTTCGCTGTAATCCCAAACCATCGGATCGACTACTTCTTAAATATGCAGAACTTCTTAATCAAAGCTCATTAAGACAGGAGAGGTATTATCACTGACTATGATATTGTTGTCATAAATACATATTAATAATTATTAAGTTCATAAGTCTTAATTAATTTAAATCACATTATTATTATTACAGTATTATTAGTTATATTTTGTTATTAAAAAAAATATTATTAATTAATTTTTTCTATACTAAAAGTAAATTAAAAACTTTTCAATAGTTTGAGTCATAGTTTCATAATATAAGTAAAATCAAGTTTCACTATATGTTTGTTAGTTTATTGAATTAGATATTAAATAGTAATCAGAACTGTATGGCTATTAACAAAAAAATTTAACATTTTAAAAAATAATTACATTATTCAGATATAATTTTAATTTGATATTAATAAATAAATTGTACAATAATATGATAGAAACAAAGTAACCGTAAAGTCATTAAAAAATTGGTGGAAAAATGAGAGACAAAGAGAAAAGAAATCGTTGCGAAACAAAGCCAAACAAATTGTGACCACTGATTGTGACACCGGTATTGTGTCCAATGTATTGCTGTCCACTACATGTACTTCCAGTGATAATGTACTCACTGATGGCCGAGGAGGAGACACTAGCGATGACGAACCGACCCTTACGTTAGCTTTCACTGGCGGTGATGATACCAGTGATGACCACATGTTGTGAATCAATTAAACAAAACAAACAAAAAATGGTTTATTAAATGAGCTTTAATTTTAATATTAATTTAATTATTATTTTAATTTGCATTTCAATTATATACATACTTATTCAATCAATGTAAATATTGATTACAAAAATTTCAAAATCAATTTTAATCAATTGAATAAACAACAACAAAAACCATTTGCGAACAATTTTATTTTATAAAAATTATTTTTAATAATTAATTGAAAGCTTATATATGATTTAAATAAATACTTTATAAATACCTATTACTAAATTACCTGTATAATTACATAATTAAAAAAACGGTGAACCGGTGTCATGGATGTCAACCCAACATAACTGTCGTATTAATCAATCAATGTTTTTTTTAATAAATTGTAATAATATATTTTCTTTATTAACTAAATATTAATATTTAATTATTTATATAATTTTTAAATCAATTTACCGGTAATGTAAATATTATTTGTTATTAATATTATGATTGCATCACATATTTGTTATGACATAAGTTTTATTTTGGGGGTAAAAACCAAAACCCAAACCAAAAATTAAGTTTTTAAAAATATTGTTAACATTTATTATTGAATACATTTGTTTTTAATTTGAAGCAAGCAAATTAATTGAATACATTTACAACAGGATTACCGGTAATTACAATTTACTGACAAAACAAAAATTTATATAACTTTAATTTCAAACAATTATGTTGTTATCAAACAAGTAATTAATAGTTGCATAAAATTTAAAAAAAACGGAATGTGTTTTTTATGTTTAACATAAATAAATGACTAAATGACTATTAAAAGTATTGATATTAAAGGAGATCATAAAAGTAGTCCAATCCCTGTCCGATCTCCCAAATAGCTATACCGGTGCCTAACTCTTGAGCCAATTGAATGCGCTTTTGAAGTGAGTATAATGTCGGATAAAAGACCCGATTTCTACCCGAACCGGACCTAAACATAAAGATAAATCATTATTAATAAACCAATTGGTGATTATTTGATAATTAAATCAATTAAATACTTGTATTCAAAGTAGTGTTCGCCTGAAATCTCGTCCCAAAGCAGTTTTGGTCGGTATTTATCCAATATCTCAATATATCTTTGAGTCGATTAAACAAAACAAAAATTTATGCGACTTATCATTTTAATTATCAATTCAAGTCAAAGACATACTGTGAGCCAACAATAGGTCCGCCACCGGTAGGCGAGTAGTCATTGCCGTAAAAGTTGAATCCAACCCATAGTTTGCGTCTTATAGGAGAAGTGTCTTTGGGAGTCAAAGATTTGATACAATCGCGAACCCATTTAAAAGGACTGTTAGGTCCAGGTCTACGTGCATATTACATATGCAATTAATTTTCCACATAATTTACTGTTAAATTTTCATAATTATCTTAAACTAAAAAAATATCTTCAATACCGTTGAGGATTAGAGTAATCATATGTCATAACACTAAAGCCCTTAACATATGGTGCCAACCGTTCGGCGTCTTCTTTAAGAAAAGAACCCTTTCGTCCACTTTTGTAAATAAATAAAAACAGATTTTAAATTAGATTTTTACTAAATTTATATATATTTTTCAATTATCATTGAAACAAACAAACAAACCCGTAGTAGACCGGTGGCGGTACAGCTATAATGAGCTCCAATTTGTTTTTCTTGAAGTGTGCGTTAAATTTGGTAAATATTGCGGTCAAATCACTTGATTGATACAAATCAAACAAAATATTTATTTTATTAATTTATTATTTAAAATCTTTTTTATTAAAATCACATTTTAAATTATGCTAAAAATTCTCTAAAAATTGTTAGTTAACTTACGTCCGATGCTGTGCTGCAAATGCGTGCCATAATTCAATCACAAAGCCATCCATTTCCCATTTCTATTAGTATTTTATATAAACAATTTTTTTTGTTAATTTAATTACTGTATATTTATTATAATAATATTACACTAATTTATTTACTACAGTCTATACTAATTATATTTAATATTTCATTTTACTTATATCTTAATTATTATTTACATATAAATAACTACTGAACAATACTGTATAAATATTTTATGTATTTTCTAAATTTGTATTGAGTTGTATATGATTTTATATTAAAAAAAAGTTACCTTGGCAAATTCACATAGTTGTCGAGCAATAGTAGGCACTAAATTAGGTTGAGTACCCAAATAGGTATACTGTGCGTGAGTCCAGTCCTCAAATATCACACGAGGAACTAATACAAATGAAAAAAACCATAATTAAATTACACCAAAATTATAATTAAATTCAAGTAAATCAACAACAAAAATATTTACCAAATTTAATATCGGGATTAATCAAGCGTACGGTTTGCATCCATTTGAAATCAATATCATGTGTGCCCTCAATGGTAATGGTTTCGTCGTCATCATTGAGCTTTGCCTGGAGCCAAACGGGTGACAAATGTGTAAACTTTGTGGCAAATGTCTTAGCGATGTCGTAACCTTTGGAGTTCCACTGAAAATCAAATCAAACCAATTAATTGAAGTGATAAGTATTTTTCAGAAAATTCTTAAACAATAGTTGATTACAGGCGTAACATATCCGAGAACTGTTCCGTTAAAGTTGCGGACAGTAGTCGACTGAAGATTGTAAGCCTTATGTTCGCGCAGTATATCCTTAACCTTAGGATTAGTAATAACTAGATTTCGGTCATAAAGCGATTCATTGACCGGTTCTTTCGGCTCAACATAACTCTACAATAATTTATTATTATAATAATATATAAGTAAATCATTAAACAATATATTAAATTATTTATTTATTAGTTTGTTATAAAAAAAAAACATTTACTTTTGGTTTTGCAGTTCTGCTACTTTGTGATAAAGTGGCCAAACAATTGGTTATTAGCACAACCAGTGCTAAACAGTTGATTAAAAGGCACTTTGAATTCATATCTGATAAATATATTGAGTGAAAATAAAAATGACAGATATATTGTGTGTTTTTATTATGTATAATATTAGTGTATTATTAGTTCATTAGAAACATAACAAATCCAAAGATTTTATTTATTAATATTTTTTTGTTGTGTTGATCTATAACTGTAACATATAAAAACTTGTTTGTAACTAATGTACTAATATATATATAAATATATATAAGTATTGATTTTGTAAGAGATTTTTTATTAAACAGAATATTCCGGTAATATTTGTCTATAATTGTGTGTTATTCATGTTTTATCGACAAAAAGCTTATAGTTATTTATGTTAGCATAACAGTAGTGTTAACACAGTATTTATTAACTGTAGCTTATTTAAAATATAACAAAATGATTTATTAGTTTATATTAAAAATATTATTATATAAAAACCTCTAAACCAATTAATCAATATATTATATTTTGATATATTAATATATCAATATCATTTTTCAATATTTATCTATTTAGCTATTTATTAGGTGAAAATTTTAAACTGTTGCTAAATAAAGTGTAATTTTTTAACAGTTATTATATGTATTGAAAAGATTAAAGTCTTAACAAAATCTGTATCCATATTCTGGATATTCATATGAAATGCTAGTCTCAAATTGCATGTGATATTTATTGGCACATATATACAGTATATCAACCCAACTCTATTACCAATGCTTAACTCCCCCCCCCCATTTTATAGTACCCATATGGGGCACCTATATATGAAGGAGATAGAGAGATAGAGAGAGAGAGAGAGAGAGAGAGAGAGAGAGAGAGAGAGAGAGAGAGAGAGAGAGAGAGAGAAAGAGAGAGATCTAGACCTCAAAAACTAACAGTCATAAAACAATTTCTTTAAATTTAAACTAACTGTTAGTAAGAAAAAGTTTTTGGTTAAAAACACAAAATAACAAAAAAATGTGTGTTTTCTTAACCAACGGTTTTTGTATTTCATGTCTACGTATTCTAATAACATTAATGTCCTGTAGTTATAAAGTGTTAATAAATTTGATATTTGATATAAGTTTGACAGAAAAATGCAAAGACAAGCAAATAACAAGAATTAAAGTCCAATTTAGAGGATATATCGCTAATTAAATTCATAGCACATCATAACTATATATAAACGATACGATAGTATCAACCATACTGTATGTCAATACAATTTAATTGCCAATTAATCATTATCTATACATTATGTACTTTAGTTTAAACTAAACACTGGTAGACCATCGCTATCATCAAATTAAACTAACAAACAATAATCATATCAATATTGTGTAACAATAAAAACCATATGAATATCCTATATATATGTTTGTATAGTGATTTGGTTCCCGTAATTTACAAATCAAATTTTTCCTAAAATTCTAAATCTATTAATAATAGGTGACCTAAATATTTGTCTCAATTAATAATAATAAGTTAATATTAGAAAAATTTTATTTCAAAATTAAACTGTCGCTTACAGTAGTGTAATATACTTTACATTTATTGGCAATATATCCTATAAATAATAATAATAATAATAATACCCGCAATAAAAATACCCGTATTTTACGGAATTTCTAACAATAATAATTACAGTACATTATACTCTATATGTGGGTGTGTGTAATGCTATGTATATATATATACTGTATAAATTGATAAATTGAATTGATCATGGTCATTTAATTAATTAATAAAACCATATTATAATTAATATGCAAATAATATGTAACATTGGTTTACGTTATGCGTATAATATATACGTTATGTGGGGCACAGATATACTGTAAATAATAATAATACTATAATTAATATTAAGTAATATAAATATAAGGGACGGGTATTACATAAGTGACAAATATGTTGACAGACTTTAAGGTTAGACTCATTGCTAGAGTTTAAGGGAGAGTTTACTAGCAATTGATTTGAAGGTAACAGTGCTTTAGTGGCACTTATAGTCAAAGTAGTGTTTAGTGTTTCAGTCAATCCCTTCATTCACTTAAATGAGTCGAGACTTTGGCTTCAAATTTGTTACTTATTTCTGAGCCATTCATTGATAACGTGACAAATGTGTTGCTATTCTATAGGTGTTTGTGTTGTGAAGCCATTGGACTCTCAATAGAAAAACAGTTTTGAAATAGTGTTTGATTTGGCGCTCAATTAGTGGCCAACAAAATGAGTGACAACAACGACAACACCGCGAGTGCTACCGACGGCACCACAGACAGCAACACTGTATGGACAGCATTGTCCACTTGCTGTGTATGCGGCAAACCTATGGATCCGACCAGTTGTCCACAATTGTTGCCGTGTTGTCATTCGTCGTGCAAAGAGTGTATCGATGACCACAAAAATACTGTCAACGACTTCTTCAATGTTGTCTTCACCAACACTGGTATGTTATGATTGATAATCAAAAACAAGACTTACCTCATGAGTTGATTTTGATTTGACTGTCAATTGTTAATGTCTTTTAGCCAAACATTTCAATGTTTACAAAACGTTTGTCTCTCTCTATTGAGTGAGAGATTGCTCTCTAAATATACAATATATTAGCGATTGTTTTGTCAATTATTATATCATTTTATAAAACCAATACATAAAATATTTTTAATTTTCAATATAATTAGCGCTAAATTTAGTCACAAAAAAATAATTTTGTTGTTATTTATTATTTTGGTTTTAACTACGACTAAAATTATTAATTAAAAAAAAATTAGTATTAAATTATTATAAATATTATAATATTTAGGTTATAAAAAATAAAAATACCAAAAAAGTTTTCATTAACTTGAAAATAAAAATATTTACTAATAGTTTATTTATTATTAAATAATAGTTAATTAAATATATCATAATTTACATTATTAATTAATTAATTAATTAATTAGTAATTAAAATGAAAAATAATTATAAAAAATTTAATAACCAATTGATTGATGGCTTACTTTCGACAGAAGCGCCTGTATTTCGATGTAAACTTTGTTCGGAAGTATTTCTGCCAAACGATTGCATCGATAATTCATTTCAACAGATCTATTGGTCGAAGAATGAGAAAGAGTTGTCGTCTTCCGGACAACAGATATGTCATTCATGTGACGGACAGAATAAGTCGGCTGTTATTAAATGCAATGAATGTCAATGGATTTGCGAAGAGTGTCGGGCACTACATATGAAACTTAATATTTTTAAATCACACGAATTGGATGAATCAACTCAAGTGACACCCAATCCCGGTCTTAGGATGAAGATGTGTGACATACATAATGTATGGACTGTTGTGTTTAAAAACTTTGTATCTAATTTTGACTGTTAACTGATTTCCAATTTATTAATTTTTTTAGGAAGAGATAACCATATATTGCAGATCATGTAGCGATGCATACTGTGCCAGATGTATACTTCGTGACCATAATGTCCACTATTATAACGACACCAAAGATCAAAGTCAAGTAGAAGCCATTTATGGCCAACTGAGAGAAAAGGTCGACAAAATTGTTGAAAAACGAAATTACTCGGAAAGTACTCTCGAAAAGTTTGAGACAATCGAGACCGACATTAGTAGTCAAAGAAATCTATGCATCGATAATGTCAAAGATATTATTAATAAATTACAGGAAAAAGTATCTGAATTGGGAAAGACATTGTTAGACAATATTAACAATATCTGTACGAATAAAGAGCAAGAGTTTGCAAAGAAAAAGGATGAACTCAAACAATTGAACTCTTCGTTCAAATACATCGAGCAATTCATGGCAACCGTATTGGATCTCAACGATCCCATGAGTGTCATGAAAGCCCAGGATCTCCTAACCAAACAGGTATTGTGTTCAATAATATTACAAAAATTATAATTTATCGATAATATTGATTACAAAACAATGATTACAATAAATTTTAATTTTTTATATAAACAGTTAAATACATTATTGAATAAGCCGTGCAGTCATCCGGATTTCATAAAGCCATTCAAGATTAAAGTCATAGACGGACTGTTAGATCAACGGCCCGGTCTATGCGCCGACAAAATGGTTGATTTAGTCCTTAAAATGTGTTATAAGATCGAAACCAGTGATAATCAAAATAATACTACTAATAGTGACAGTAATATTGATGCCATTAATAATATTATCAACAATAATAATATTAATGCTGATATTGATGATGACATTTCTCTGATATTAGAAATACCTGCTCCCAAATCGACAACTCCACAATCATCGTCTAATAATATCAATCAACCGACACCACCACCACAACTACCACCACCGTTAACACTAATAGGTAATAATCCTAATAATAATAATAATAAACAATTAGCACCGTTAGCACCATTGCCAGCACACAACAGCATCCCAACCACACAAAACTCTTTCAATTATTATAATTACAATCAGAACACCACAAATAATAATAATAATGCAAATTTAGTGCAAATGTTATCTACAGTTCCCTATACTTGTTCACAACCGTCCCAAATGTCATCTCACAATAACTTGCATAATAATAGCTCGCCTTATATACAAAATCTAACAACACTAACAAATTCTGTGCCACCAAATACAGTCTGTACTAACAGTTCTCGTAACGATAATGGTATTGTAGGAGCGTATGGTAATCCAAAAGTCTATCGTGACAACAGATCCAATGCTCAACAACAACAACAATATAGTGGCCAACCTGTACATCAAAATCAAGCCAATCAATACTTAATGACAGGTAATACAGGTGCTAATCAACAAATGCAATCAATGACTTCCAATAGGTAATTATTAATAAAAACTTATTACCGTAAATATAATACTTAAAAAATATTAGTAGTAGTAGTAGTAAACTTTGATTTCAAATTAATATATTTTTGTTTGCATATTATTGGAAAATAAAGACAATTTGGTGGCAATTCTACCGTAGCAATGATAATAACTAATCCAAACCAATCACATCAACAACAATCATCCCGACCGACACAACAATTAAATACAATACAATATAGACCAGCAATTGCGCCATCAAAACCACATCAAGGAAATTTTACTACAATAAATTCAAATCATTTAACAGGATCGGTGGTAACACAATTGCATCAACAACAACAACAACAAACTCGACCACAACAACTACAACATTTGCAACAATTACTTATGCAAAGGTCCCCTGTGTACCCTATTATTAGACAACAACAACAACAACAACTACAACAACAACAGATACATCAGCAGCAGCAACAACAACAACAACATTATCAACAAATGCAACAACAAAGATATCCGACACCATTAACTGATAATAACGAAAAGCAAAAGGAAAGTCAGCAGATTGTTAACAGATTAAAGGAAACGTATCCAAAGGAGTTCCGGTCGCCGACACCTAATAATAACAATACTTCTAGTAATACACACACACCGAGAAACGCTGTCAATACTCAACAAAGACCGGCATCTGTTTCCGTAATGATGGGAAACGATGATATTCCTCAGCTACACATACCCGAGTCATTGGGCCATTTGGTTCAAGTGTCGACTTCATCCGCAACTCAATTGTCAAATCAAAGAAGAAATTCATCCGATTTGGCGAACATTAAAACTGGATCTTCAAATGTTCAATGGGTTAATGTTTCAACAAGTAATACCACTACAAACAAATCGGTAACACCGCCTGTACCGGTTCCTTCCCATTCCCCTACCATTTCTACTAACCAAACATTAACCACCACTTCTACATCCACTAACATCACTACTACTACTACCAGTAGTTTGTCTTCCAGTATTAATCCATCAACTCTTTCGATGCCTGATTTGAATGACTTTTTAACCTTACCATTAGATTTTCTTGATAACACTTATGATAATAGTAGTAGTAGTGATAATAATAAAAGTAATACTAATACTAATAATAACAATGAAAATGAAAATGAGTCTAATAAAAATAAAGATAGCATTAATGATAAAAATGAGAATTCAAATAATAATAATATTGAAGATAAAACCAAAGAAGTTGCTAATGAACCACAAATAGAGGCAACAAATGATAATAATAATACTGATAATGTAAATAATAAAACAATTGGTGATAATAATAATAATAAAGATAATGAATCTAATAAAGAGATGAACAAAGATAGAAACGCTCCATCGCGTTCATCAGCACCGGTAGCCAGAATTGCTCCCATAACCAATGATGACAACATGGATGTCGTCTCAACAAACAATGAACTAATGACTGATGACGACTCAAACTCTTCGACGACAATTATCGATGAAGACGCAGATTGTGTTGTTTGTAATACAGAATTCGGTGAATTTATATTTTGCGGTTCGTGTCCACGAGTTTTTCATCGAGAATGTCACGTACCGGAGCTCAAGACAATGCCTGAGTCAGTATATAAGATAAATGTTATTTATTATATATATATATATATATATATATTGCAAACCAGTGGTTAATTAATTTGTTATATTTATAGGACGGCTTTTATTTGCACCTTTTGTAAAGATATACCTAAAACAGTGAACTCCGGCAGAACAAGAAGATCAGGTCTTAATGTCAGACAACAAATGGTTAGCTAATAATAAGTTTTATTTGATTGATTGTATTGTTATTATTATTGTTAACATAGAAATTGATTATCAATTTTGTTATTGTTGTTGTCTTTTTAATTGAATCCAGATCTGCGAACGTATTCTTATATCATTGTTGTGCCACAAATTGAGCGAACCGTTCAAACTTCCGCAAAACGACAAAACACCACAAAATTTTAGTCTATTTACTATTAAGAAGAACTTAGAGAATAATGGCTACGAAAATGAGAGACAATTTATTGAAGATATCGATGCAATGTTCACTTATTTTAGGAATAGAGGAGATGTCCTCAATATTCCGGTAATGGTTTTGCTTTTTATTATTAGTATTATTTGACAGATAATGATATATCGTATTATTGGACTTTATTATTATTATTAACACAATGGTATTTATTGTTTATATTTTGCGATATGTATTACTACAACAACAACAACATATATAGATAACAGACGCAGATTTGGATAATTACAAGAAATTTGAAAAATATTTTGACAAACAAATCAACAAATTATTGCCAGCTTTTGCTAAAACTATTGATGGTTTGGTCGTCGTCGACAACAACAACACCAGTGATGACAGTCAAAGTAGTAGTGTATCTAATAGTAAACGCAATAAATCCGGTTGTATTTCAATATGAAATACATATTATTTTAACTAAATTATTATTTTTTAATTTTATTATTATAATTATTATTATTAGGATTTTTTTTGGTAATAAAATTACCTCAAATTTTAACTTATCCTATAGTTTATCTATCTATCAGTATTATTGTTTATTGGAAAAGTATATCTCATTTTTATTTAACTGTAGTTATTATTATTTGTTAGTAAAATAAATATTTGAGTTTTTATTTATTTATTAAACAATGATTATCATTTTTATTTTGACTCTTAATGATAACATTAATAATAGTGAATCATTTGTAAAATTTTATGTCATATATTAATACTGTAATAATTATAATAATAATTTGTTGTAAACTAAATTTTTGATAATTTAAAAAATATGAACAAATAAATATAAATTTTTAAAATAAAAGATTTTTATTCTAAATATATGACAAATTAAGCGATAAATTATTTTTCGATTTTATAATCTTATCAAATAATAATAATAATAGTTTATAATTAGACCTATAATTAAATTTTAAACAAAATGTTATATAAATATTGATATTTATGGTGAATACTGTTATTTAACAAAAAAGCAATAAACAGTAATTAATGATAAAAATAATGACATTTGCTTTTCTTTATTATTTAAACCATCGATTTTTCAAAAATAATTTTAATATTCATCTATCAATTATTTTCTTTTTTATTATTATAAGCATAAAAATTATAAGTAATTGTTACTTAATATTATTAGTATTATTATAGAAATTTTAAAATAATAATAATTTTAATAATAATAGTACTTAATAATAAGTAAGTAAATATTTTTGAGCAATTATATTAAACATAAAATAGTTTATATAAGTAGTTTAGTTAAATAATACCTATTAATTGACAATGAAATTTATTTATTAAATTTTTTTAAATAACAATAATTTTCATATTAAATAGGTTAATAATAATGATAACATAATAATGATATAACAGGGCATATATATATATATATATATATTACTATGAATGTATTAAATAAGTAATTTTTTAATTACATATATTAATTATTATAAACTTTATTTAATAATTAAGTTTACATTATATTTATCTTTTTCTTATATATTTAAAGATAGATAAGTAAACATAGTGTCTATAATAGTAATAATAATAATAGTAATAATAATCTAATAAATGATTGTAAACATCATATATTTGTTCGTATTTTATCCAATAGTTAAAAATAAAATACAGAATTTGGCAAATAATATGAGTTTAAAAAAATCAATAATGTGTTAACATTTTTTTTTAATTTTTAATTTGACAATGAAATATACATATATAAACTTTACATATGTTTTTGTTAGAGGTATGTCGACAACAAAAAAACAAATATAAATATTTAAGAAATATTGCTATATTTGTTTTGGTTGTTTAAAATACTAATCATATATGAAAAAAATTTGTTTAGTTGTATTGCTATTTATTATTATTATTATTATTTATTGATTCAATGGCCATAAGGCACATACATTTGACTTTTTAAAAGGCACTGATAAAATACAAACGGCTTACTTACTGTTTATTTAATTATTATTTCACTAATTTTTAGCAAATATTTTTACATTTAAAGACTAGGGATTAGTACTGAAAACCACTTTTCAATTTAATTATATGTAAACAATTGTTTACATTATTTCCAATATATTATATATAACTTATATATATATCGTATATATTCAGTGATTGTCAGTCCTAAAGACTAGAAAATATATTTGACTTTTTTGAAAATATTTTTGTGAGTTATGTCTGTAATGTTATGTTGAACTTATAATAATAATAATAACTTAATAATATTATTTACGGAGCGATTCATCTATTATATGAATAAATTATTAACTAATAAAATCAATAATCATATAAATTAAAAAATAAAAATAATATAAAATATATTCATATATATTCTTACTAATGAGAAAATTATTATTTATACAAATTAATTAAATAACAATTACATCTATATAAATGTTAATGAATAATATATTATTATTAATAATAATTATGTATTTTCAATGGAAATATCTTATATAACTTTTTCATATAGTTATATCGATGTTAATATAAATAATTAAATAACCTCTCTATTATTAATGAAATATATAATTCAATAATAATTCAATATACTTTTAATAATGTATTTAATTATGTTATAATGAATTTATGATAAAATATTGAGAATATTATTATATTTTTGTTGCTTTTATAGTAATAAAGATTATGAAATTATTTCCATGAGATTCCTATATGAATACAATATATAACTATTTACGATAAAAGATAAATGAAAATAATCGTAATAATAATATATAAATGTATGTAATAGTTAATAAACTAATCATTATATGATAAATTAAATGCATATATATATTAAATTTGTTCACTTTATGTATGGCTTATGGTATTGTTCCTGAAATATTGTTAATTAAAGTATTAATAATATTAATATAATTAATAATATATATTGATATAAACATAATTATTTTGTTTGTTGAGGCACTGATTCATTGCATCCTTGCGTCCGATATATATGAGACCGAATTGGTAGGCGTAACAGTGGCCGCTAAATAGTTGGCTCCGGTTGTGACCACCGATCCATTGGTAGTAATTGCATTGCCCGCCGCCGCGGACAGAGTTGAAAATGCATTGAACGGATGATGACTCGCTGAATGAGCTGAACCAGTAGTACCGTTAGCACCATTGGAAGCCGCGGCTACAGCAGCGGCAACAGCTGCCGGTCCTATTGGACCGCTTTGATGAGTGTGTGTCGCGTGAAATGGAGGGTAAGCGTCAAAACCATTAGTAACAGCCGTGGCGTATGGCGCTGGCGGATAGGCGCCCGTTGGGTAGTCATAAAAATGAGTCGGAGATAGGGCTGCTGTTGTCGGTGGCAACAATAGACTCGGCGCTCCGGGAATATAGGAGGGAGTGGTGGCCGTATGGTATACATAATGGTGCGCTGGAAGGCTATTAATTCAATAACAAGCAATTCATTAGGTATTTAATCGATTCAATTGTCTTTAACACATTCCCTGTGCTATATCTTTAACTTTTCTACTATATATTATATTTATGATTTATACTATCATTTTTTTGTTAAGTGATTAAAATCATTGTGTAATCAATAATAATTATTATTATATAACTCAAACACTTACCCAAACTGTCCGCCGACGGGAGGTATTACTGCTGGATATCCGCTCCGAATGGGAAATGAAAAACCTATTAATTAAAACAAATAATTTTATTTTATTATAATATTATTATACAATAATTAATAATTAGCTAACTTTTTAACTAAACATTTTTGTTTTCTACAAACAAATTACTAATTTCTGTTTTTTACAAACAAATTATATATAATGTGTATAAATATAAATGTTTTGATACGATTAACTCATTTGTCAATAAAATGGCAAAAATGTGTCTAAAAATTTTAGTGAATACAAGTAAATCAAGATATAAAGGGATATTAAATAAAAATGTGAATCCATGTGAATGAATGAGTGAGACATTTGAGAGTTTAGTTGTTTGAAACCCCAAAAGCATTTAAAACCGTTTCACACAATCGTATCTCATATTCGGTTCAATACTTATTTATATTAGAAAATCACATTTAAAATAGACATTTCAAAGGATGTGTCTTATTGTCTGAATTTTGTATTTTTAATTTTATTAGAATAAATTGACAATAATTTTAATAAATAAATGTGATTTAAATGTCAATTAAATGTAAATTTTTATATTTATTTTATATATTTTAATATTATAAATTTAAAATTAGTAATTCTATATTAGAAAAATTTCTAAAATATTAATGAATGTTATTTTTAACTAATTTGATATTCAAGAATCCATATTAAAATAAAATTCAAAATAACTATTAAAAAAGCTAAAATTAAGTATCAATTTTAATAAATTATATCATTTTTCAAATTGTATTACAATATATTCATTGAATTATTTAAAGAATGAAATTTTTTCGATAATTATTTATTATATTATATATTCAATAAAAATTCTAAACACTATTTTAGTAAAATAATAATAATAAAAAAAATTAGCAGTTAGTGTGTGTTTTTCATTATTATTATATAATAACTGTTATAAATCAATTCAAAAGTCACTATTTCTTAAAAATGAAGTTATGTGAACATTGTTTAAAAAATTGTAATAAAAATATGATATAAATAATTAGAAATCTAATAAATATCCTTGAAATTCATAAAACAAAATTTTAAAATTTATTATTAATTAATATTTATTTTGTAAACACATTAAATTTTGTGATAATAAAAAAATAAATCTTAATTTCATTGATATGAAATGTAATTTTACATAATTTTATATAAGAGATGGTTAGTTATAAATAGATTAAAATTAAAAGATTTTTTTAAAAATCATTATTATTACAATACAATAAAAAAAAGTTTAACACAAATTTATTTATTATTCATACTTGTAATGCAAAAATAATATTTTTAATTATTTAGATTCATCTAAAAAATAACTACAATTTAATTTATATAATAAAGAATTGTATATTAATTTAATTATAAATAATTTGTGGAAACAATTTCCATTATAAAATTAAATAACCCGTTTTCTACATAATTTAATATATAAAATATTATTATTAAATTAAAATAACGAAATTCAAAACATAAGACAAATCCTTTTGAATGGGAAACGAGTGAATCAAATGTGACGATCGATGGCTGTGTGCGGCAAATATTTTTAGACGCATTTTATGGCTTTTATAACATTTGTAAAAATGCTATCATTTTGGGATCATATAATGACATTGTAAATGCTATACCATATTATTATTATTATTATTATTATAAAATTTTGTAACTTTAAATCATTTTCTTTAAGAGAAAAACTTTTTGATGATTTCATTAATGACTTGCAATGAAATGTCGTCTAATATTATTCTCGCATCGAGAAAATGAGCGGAAATATTATGTAATATAATTAATATATAAAACTAAAAACATCGCGAATAATAAGAGAGAGAGAGAGAGAGAGAGAGAGAGAGAGAGAGAGAGAGAGAGAGAGAGAGAGAGAGAGAGAGAGAAAACACAAATGAGTTTATTATTAGATATTATGAGTTATGGTTAAAATGATTATTTAGGTCTTATCAGAAATCACTATTCAATTAATCCATGCATTGTAACAATGAATGTCAAATATAATGTATTATAATTTATATGGACTATAATAGACTACGATTCTATGATATCATTATAACATTATATAAACAGTAGTTTATATCTAAATTTAATATTAAAATATAAATAATTTACTCTACAAATATATATATATATACTTATCTTATTATATGGTATCTAATATTTTAAACCAAAAAAAGAAAGAAAATCATATGAATTATATAATTCATAAAATAATTATTTTAAAAAACTATTGAAACAAATATAAATTTTACAATAAAATGCTATTTATATGAACACACAAAATGCGGAAAACTACAGCCAAGAGAATTGGCAAAAATCAATACATTAGATATATATATATATATATATATATATATACTGTAGATATATAATAATAAGACAACACAACTTCTTGAATATACAGTACTATATACTGTATATACACTTCATTTTTAGGTATAAAAATAAAATAAAAATTATGAAAACAAACAAAACTAATGGGTAGAATTGGGATGAATAAAAAAAAACAATAAAAATATTGCACCAATAAAAACACCAAAAATAAATCACTAAAATTAAGCAAAAAAAGCTGTAAACATATTAAGTAATTAATTGAATTAAAATAAGAGATAATAATAATAATGATAATAAAAAATAATAATATCTGTAAATTGGGAATTTAAATTAATCACATAAAAACCCATTTGTTTGACTACTACTACTACTACTGTACTATCAAACCCTAAAAGTCAGATGACTTTCTTTTTGAAAACATTCAGAAAATAAAAAACAATAAAAAATCCAAAATTTCAAGACATCTCTTGGGAATCAATTAGAAAATAGCGATAAAAATTGCTGAGAAATGAAAGCCACGACTAATGTGTTGGAACTCTGACTTTCACTTAATTAGTGTATATATTAACACAAAAATTATTTTGTACGGTATGTATGAAAATATATTATTAGTATATATATACTCTATATAAGTGTACCGTAATTATGCTTCAATTATTTTGTTTAAAGCATTTTTATTTTACACACACACACACACACACACACACACACACACACACACACACACACACACACACACACACACACACACACACACACACACAAACTTACTGTATATTATATTTGTTGTTAAAAAATAGGGTAGACATTGAAATATATATATAAAGTCTGTGACAGAAGGGTGCGAACTGGTTTTTGCTTAATATCTCTATAACTAATTGAGCTAGATCAATAAAAATTTTATGAGAAACATGGAATCCTGGGACGTATTACTTAGTATATTTAGTTTTTATAGATTTAAGCTTATGTAGCTAAGCACCGGTAGGTGCCATATCTCTAAAACTATAATAAATATCTAAATTCTGATAATGTGAATTTAAACTAGGTGAAAATTCATTAGACACGTGTTTCAGTAATTTTTATAAAAATTAATAAATTTTAAACAAAAAGCAAAAAAATGTAAAATTTGTGATATTTTGATATTTTCTAGAAAAAAAGTGTCAAGGTTTTTTGTTATGAAATTAATCTATTATTATTTGTTATTTTATTAGGAATAATTATTCTATTTACAATTTTTAATTATCATGCTTAGTTTTTGAGATATTAAAGAAAAACATTTTTACCATTATATAATTTTTTCTTATAAAATTTTATTAATTATATTTATTACTAAATTTATATAATGGTAAAAAGGATTATCTTTAATATCTCAAAAACTAAGCATGATAATTAAAAATTGTAAATAGAATAATTATTCCTAATAAAATAACAAATAATAATAGATTAATTTCATAACAAAATACCTTGACACTTTTTTTCTAGAAAATATCAAAATATCACAAATTTTACATTTTTTTGCTTTTTGTTTAAAATTTATTAATTTTTATAAAAATTACTGAAACACGTGTCTAATGAATTTTCACCTAGTTTAAATTCACATTATCAGAATTTAGATATTTATTATAGTTTTAGAGATATGGCACCTACCGGTGCTTAGCTACATAAGCTTAAATCTATAAAAACTAAATATACTAAGTAATACGTCCCAGGATTCCATGTTTCTCATAAAATTTTTATTGATATAGCTCAATTAGTTATAGAGATATTAAGCAAAAACCAGTTCGCACCCTTCTGTCACAGACTTTATATATATGTGTAAGCATTTTATTAAATAACCGTTAGTTTTTGTCAAAATAAAAAATAAAATAAATGATTAAAAAATATTTGCAAAGTCCCTCATCGTATAGTTACTCAATTTTTGACTGATTTTATTTTACAGAGAAAAATCTTTTAAATCATTACAAACTGTTTTTGGAGAAAGTGTTTTTTAAAAAAGTCAAATCTCTATTTAAATAAAAATCATTTATATCGACTGTTAGAGAGATGATGAGGACTCTTAATGTCTAACCATCTCAAAGATGACATATATTTTGCCATTTACTTCTAGTGCTACTTTTTGGATGACATACAAGATATATAATAATTTATATCCCAATACTGTATATATATTAATGTATGCATAACTCATACAGTGATAGAAATGGTTGAAATTTAGTCTAAAATTAAATTCATTAGCATTGGTGTACCTGTCAGCACACACACACACACACACACACACACACACACACATTGGGGTAATTTATCTCAAAAAACAGTAGAGTAAAGGCGCCATTATATCGCTTGAATATCCATTCAACTGTATTTGATGTCAACCGAGTGGTCTATCCCTAACATGTTTGTCAGTGACACCAAACTCTGGGTGACAGTGACTGCCATTTAAACATCAATTTAAGCCTCATTTGCGTTCACATCAGACAAACCTATCTCTCCGTCAATGAATGGCTATTAATAATTAGTCGTATATTTATATACTATATATTGTATAAGTTATATATTGTATATAATTTAAAGTGAATATCCAATACATGTTTGACTGAAACTAATTATAGTAATAAATAAAACTATATTATTATTATTATTATTATGCTAGCTAATTGAAAATGCAAATATTTATTAAGTCATATTTATACATAATTTACTATTCAAATTACTTGAACAAAAAACAACAACAATAACAACAAAAATGAGAAGCAAATAATAAAGAGAAATAAGAAAAATATAAAAACATAAATTCAATGTTTTTAAAAAACAGTCTGAATTAGTGTTAAACAAATTTGATGAAAATAGTCGTATTTTTTTAAGGCTTTTCTTTTAGATAATTATAGACTGACTATACGTGTAATTTACAACAAGCATTGCCACAATTATTGGCCAATTGTGTGGATATATATATATATGTGCTGTCAAGTGATAAATGACTTACAAATTAGGCACACTTTTTGTTTGTTTGCAACTGATTCCCAGATATGACTTATGTCACTATCATTTAGTGGGTCCTAAAACTGTCCTCAAATCAATATAATTATAATTATATGTTTAAGCTTTTTTAAAAAAAATTATTAGCCATATATTTTCCAATTTCAGTCAATTGTGTAATCAATTGCGTTAAAACAAATGACTAGTCAATGTGTGATATCACATGTGATTTGAATCAAATGTCAAAAATTTAATAATTTGATTTTGTTATAAGCAATTCATGTTTACGATTATTCATAAAATAAAAAAGATTTCATTTATAAAAATAACAAAAAATCTAAATCCAATTTACGTTTCATTTCTCTCTTTCTCTCTCTCATATCACACATCAAACTATAGCATGTCTTTCAGTGATAAACAATAATATTATCTCTTATATAAAATGACATTTAAAAAAAAGTTGGCAAACTTTTAATGTAAGTATAAATATCAATATATTCTTTTATATAAATATATACATATATATAAAAATAATGCATTCAAAAAATTTATTCAATGCTTTTATGCAAAGAAACAAAAAAACACTTTCAATGAACAAAATTGATTACAATTACAAACATCCAGTATTTGCACCTTTTTTAAAAAACATTTAAAAAATTAAAATCTTATATATTAAGTTTAATTTAAATGTTTAAAAAAATTAAATAGAGAAAATAGGATAGACACTATAGATAAATAATTAGATAAACGAGAGAGAGAGAGAGAGAGAGAGAGAGAGAGAGAGAGAGAGAGAGAGAGAGAGAGAGAGAGAGAGAGAGAGAGAGAGAGAGAGAGAGAGAGAGAGAGAGAGAGAGAGAGAGAGAGAGAGAGAGAGAGAGAGAGAGAGAGAGAGAGAGAGAGAGAGAGAGAAGAGAGAGAGAGAGAGAGAGAGAGAGAGAGAGAGAGAGAGAGAGAGAGAGAGAGAGAGAGAGAGAGAGAGAGAGAGAGAGAGAGAGAGAGAGAGAGAGAGAGAGAGAGAGAGAGAGAGAGAGAGAGAGAGAGAGAGAGAGAGAGAGAGAGAGAGAGAGAGAGAGAGAGAGAGAGAGAGAGAGAGAGAGAGAGAGAGAGAGAGAGAGAGAGAGAGAGAGAGAGAGAGAGAGAGAGAGAGAGAGAGAGAGAGAGAGAGAGAGAGAGAGAGAGAGAGAGAGAGAGAGAGAGAGAGAGAGAGAGAGAGAGAGAGAGAGAGAGAGAGAGAGAGAGAGAGAGAGAGAGAGAGAGAGAGAGAGAGAGAGAGAGAGAGAGAGAGAGAGAGAGAGAGAGAGAGAGAGAGAGAGAGAGAGAGAGAGAGAGAGAGAGAGAGAGAGAGAGAGAGAGAGAGAGAGAGAGAGAGAGAGAGAGAGAGAGAGAGAGAGAGAGAGAGAGAGAGAGAGAGAGAGAGAGAGAGAGAGAGAGAGAGAGATAGATAGATAGAGAGAGAGAGAGAGATAGATAGATAGAGAGAGAGAGAGATAGAGAGATAGATAGAGAGAGAGAGATAGATAGATAGATAGAGAGAGAGAGAGATAGAGAGATAGATAGAGAGAGAGAGATAGATAGATAGATAGAGAGAGAGAGATAGATAGATAGATAGATAGATAGAGAGAGAAAGAAAGAGAGAGTTGAAAATTAAAAAAAAATAAAAACAAAATTTTACTCAAATTAAAAACTAATGCCTTTTTGTTGCACTGAAAATAACTATAAAGTTCAGACAAACGGAAGAGTTTTAATTTAATACGAAAAAGGGATTTATATATATATATATAAATATATATAAATAGACCACTTTTTACACGTCTATACATATAAAAAAAGTTATGTTTTCCGTAAAAAGGTTTTTATGTTTTCGCAAAAAATGAGATGTCATTAAAGCTAAATCAATGGGTTTTTACCCATAGATATGCTTTATATCAGGGTTAAGCAAGGTTTTGGATTTTAGGGGGGGTGTAGACCGTGGTAAAATTCACAAAATTCTCGAAAAATCTTGGGGGGGGGGGGGGGGGGGGGTATTGAATGGGGTAAGATTTTTATTGCATTTTTAAACGGCAATTTTTTTCAAAAATCAAAGGGGGGTCAAGAGAAAATTCCCTAATATTCCCTTAAATTCCCATGTAAATTCGATAAAGTTCCCATAAGTTCTCGTATAAATTGCCAGGAAAATAGGTAAAATTTCCAAAAATACAAAAAAAACTTAAATTTTAACAAAAAATAAAATAATGTATATAATACATAAAAATAGTTGATAAAAGCATTAATGATACACTAGAGTTTTTTTTTAGTATTTTAGTAATTTTTAACTTTTAAAATAATTAATTTTTTAAATAATACTTAATGTTTATAGTTTATAGATATATTTTTATTTTTTAATGTTATTTTTATATAAATACTGACCGAATACTAATTATAAAATTTAAAATTTTTAAAATTTTTTAGTTAAAATTTTAAAAATTATTAATAAAAACCTTGTAATATAAGTATTTATTGTTTTATTAACTTCTTAAACTATCTTAAACTTATATTTAAATTGTAATATGATTACTCTTTTCAAAAAATAGGCAATTTTTAATTTAATATTTTAATTAAAATTATGTTATTTTTAGATGAGTTTTAACGTTATTTTAACTTTTTCACTTATTTTTAATCAATAATTAGATTTATATAAATTTTAAAAACAAAAACACATACTAAAATAGTTTTAATTAAAATTTTTAGTTTTAAAAAATTTCGGCGCCGAAGGCGCAGAAACTTTAGGGGGGTCATTTTCTGAGTCTGGGGTCAGAGTCAGAGATTCAAAAAGTCTGGGGGGTAAAATCCCAAAATCTCGATCTTAGGGGGGGTATTTTGGCCTTACCCCCTACCCCCCCCCTACTTAACCCTGGCTTTTTATATATAAATATATATATATTATTCTAAAGAGTATATTTATGATTACAATAATATTATGATAAAATAAAATAAATAATAATAAAGTAATAAATATTACTTTTTAAAACTTTTTTTTTTGGTGAAAATATTCACATTTAATTTAGTTAAATTAACAAAATAATTGATAAAAAAAATTAGTAACTCTGTGTATATTTTTTTATGTTTAAATATTTAATAATAAAAAAATAATAATCTAATAATAGCCATATTAATAGTATCTAAAAAATGATTGATTAATAATAAGCTTTACTCGTAATCTAATAATTTAATTAACTTATAATTCAATAACTTAAATGCTATGTTAATTACAGTTTAGAGAAATAGGTTTAAAATTGATTGAACCAACCGTTTTGTATGTTAGTCCGTGGTTTGGCCCCCAAGTATGCGAGGTTTACATTAGCTTTTCGTCCATCGATTATAGGATTGGCCTCTTTTACTGCCCGTTCGGCCGATTCCCTGTCAGCCATTGTAACCTAAATCATAGATAAAATCATAATATAATAAAAAAAACATAACCAATGATTGTTGTGATGGATATAAATATATAAATCTAAGTTATATTATTATATAACAAACAGAGATATTAAAGTACAATATATATAATATTAAGGAATCAAAGCGAAAGTGATGTAATGCAAGTGGACCTCAACTATAAGCTATAACATTGTTTGCTTGTATGACATACAATGGCAGACAATTGTGTGATCCCTTTAGATAATAATAATAATAATATAATACAATAGTATTCATAGAGAAAGAGAGAGAGAAATACATTTGGATTGTAAAACACAAAAGAAAAATCTCTTTCTATTTCTCCGTTTAGATCTAACTGTTCATGTCTTTTGATGTGCTTTTAATGGTTAAAAGTTTCATTCAATCGCATCCCCTCAACAAAAACACACTGTTTTGTTATGAGATTCATATATATAATATATATATATATATATATATATATATATATATATATATATATATGTATACACACATACAATATATAAGTAATAATAAATTTTTATAAAATGCTATTCGCATCGTTTACGATAACATTTTCAATAAAACATAAAATCATAGTTAAACCATAACTGTTTGAATCAATTTGTTATTCAAATTAAACAGTAGTACACATATACTGTACACACATTATTTACTGTCCATAATAATGTAAAGCATTAATGCTAATATCCATTAATTTTTAACTATAATCATCAACAACAGGGTTGCTAAAGGGGGGTAGGGTAGGGTAAGACGTCTTACCCCCCCCCCCCTGAGATCGAGAAATTTTGGCTTTTACCCCCCCCCCTGGCATGAAGCGAAAAAGTTTTTCAGCTATGTAAAATTTTATATTAAACAGAAAAATAAATATTAAATTAGTTAAATATAAATTAATCGCTTATGTATAGAAAATTAATAGATAAAAATACTTAATTACATCAATTTAACATTATATACACTAGTAGGGGCACTCCACAAGCTAAAAAATAAATTCCCACCAATTTTCAAAAAAATAATATATATTTTATTTCTTATTAAAAGTCGAAAACTAAAATTTTTAGCATAAATTTTAAAATTATTTTTAAACTTTATATTAAAATGTGTTAGTTATGGTTCAATATAAAAAACTATAAAAAGATATATTCTTAAATTAAATTCATTATTTAGAACTAATTAATAATTATTTCTGCCAATTTTATTTTTATTATTATTAAAACGTTATAATAAATACAGTACTATATCATTAATTTTTTAATTAACTATTTTTTAAAAAAATAATTTATTAAAATTAAAAATAACATTTTGAGTATTGAGAAATTAAGTTGAGAATATTTTTATTAGTTAATTTATTGGGAATTTAGTGGGAATTTACTCAAATTTGGCAAAAATTGTCGTTTAAAAATGCAATAAAAAATGTTCACCCCCTATACCCCCAAGCTTTTTCGAAAATTTTGCCATTTTACCTCCCCCTATACCCCCCCCCCTGAAATCGAAAACCTTTAGCAACCCTGATCAACAATATAAGAGACAATTGTCATTGTGATGGCAATACATGCTTTAAATTAATGTTCAACATTATAGCGTAACTATTTTTTTGTTGTTAATATCAAAAATAGCAAATGAATTCATACAATTGATTTTTATAATATACAATATAAACAATCTAAGAATAATATATTAAAAATAAAAATAGTTTATATATTTATGTGTGTATATAAATATATTATAAATTAAATTCTCTTAATGTTAACCTCAAAAATAATACAGTTATTGAATAAAGTCAACTTAAAAACATATTTAATATAGTAATAATTTATTATTTTTAGAAATACTGGGAGTAAGTATAGTAAGCACTGGTAGTAAAAGATATGAGTGTTAAATGTGAAACATATGTCATCATTAGATTTGAGTAATGTTTTGCTTTTGATTTTATTTTCAATTATTATATATTTAAGTAATTTCAATGACAGTAGTTATCAAAAATAAAAATATATTTATAGGATTTTATGAAAGAAAATAATAATAATATTTAATTCACTATTTCTTTTTTACACTCCATAGGGTTATATTATCTAATAAATAAAAATCTCGGAACTAAAATGTTTTGGTTGTAACTGTAATAGTGAACAAATAGTTTTATTTTATTTTTTTGTGGAAAAACAAAACCAAATTTACCAAATAAGACAAAAGTAAACACTGAAAAAAAACATGAATATATGGCACAACTATTACAACTACTACTAAATTGATGCAAATGTGATAGCCGTGAACTAATGGCCATACGCTGTATATACAGTATATATATATATATATATAAAGTTTAGCCATCAAGAGGTTCAAAAACAAAACATTTGATTGTCAATACTATAATAACCTAACCATTCAATGAATTTTTGATCGACAACTCAACCGAACAGTTCTGGTTGAACGGTACTGTTGTGGCGCTCAGGGACTCAATGAATACAATCCATTGTCAGTCAGGCTCTGCTTTATTTAGAACCAACACCGCTATACTCTTGTGCACAATCAATAAGACATACATACAGTACATATACATACATATATACTATATATATATATATATATATATGCATACACACACATACTTACAGTACATACACACATACATACTGCACATACACTCGTATCTCTCACTTTGTCTCAATCATCCTGTGTTCCTGTATTTGACTTCTTATCATTGAATCCATACAAATGGTGCAAAACTTTAGCATCAGATGAAATCAAGTCATGTCTTCATAACATAGCTGATCATATTTTCCCTTTCCTTATATATATACAAATATATAATCCAATCTAGCATTTAGTTGTATGTGTGTGAGTGTGTGTGTCTATGTGTATGCTGTTGAATGGCAAAAATAATAATAACTCAATTTTATCACGACTTTACTTATAACTGTATTTGACGTCTGGTATAACAAAACGTGGGCTAAAAACAAAAATCAACAAAAATATCAACAAAATAAATCATTGAAACAATGGACATATCACTAGACAATTGCAAAAAATTACACATTATTACTATTATTATATATCAAAAGGATTAGGACTTATGATAAAATAATGTTAATAATCATAGAGATCATTGGGGAAAATGGGATTAAGTAGATGGAGACGACTGAGAAACAAACAAATAAAAATTGTATCATAAAATGTCATATATTAAGAGCACACACACACACAAACCAGACCAAAGAAAAACATTGACATTTGCATATAATTTATAGATAAAGTGTAGTCCTATTTGTTAAAAAACTATATTTAATTCACTTGAGAGTCCATTTAAATGATTTAAGCATTGAATTTATGTCTTACTTTATATATTTTTGTGACTTCAAAAACGTCTCTATTTTTATATCACACCACAAAAAATATATGACTGAAAACAGCAAAAAGTTTTTTCAACTCTAAAAACTTGCAATATTTAAAGCAAGAAATCAAATGTAAAGTTATATAAGACTTATGTGTGTCTCATTGCAAAAGACTCTTAAAGAGAAAGAGAAAGAGAAAGAGAGAGAAAGAGAGAGAGAGAGAGAGAGAGAGAGACGGCATGAATGGCACACGTGTTAACTCATCCATCTCTTAGATCTTAAAAGACTCGTGTCTTCAATGACTACACAAAGATGAGACCATTGAAGTCAAATGAATATAAAGAGTGAAAATGAGAAGTTTAGATGTAATGAATTGTGTAATAATATGTAATAATATATCTATGAAATAATACTATTATTATTATTTACACATTAAATATAATACAATATCATAGAGTAGTATATGATTACAATGTCAATGAAAATCGATTGTCAGGTCTAGAAGTACTGGCAATTCATTAAACCGATAATCAGTTTCATTGTATAACTAAGTAGTATTAACGTCGACCTAAACTATGGATATCCCTTATGCCAATGGCTTCTGGCGTTTGGTCTAACAATACAATACAATGAGTCAATTATTGAGACATCACTGCCATTCATTCAATAGTAATAGACATACATTTAGACATCTTTTTTCATATATATGATTTATGACCAATTCTATGATATATATATTGGATGTGTTGCATGCAATCGACCGCACAAAACATAGCATTTGTACTATTACTTAGGTCTATGAAGTTACTAATCTGTACTCAAAGTATCAGTACTTTATCAAGTGACAGTGTTTTTATGTGTTACACACACACACACACACACACACACACACACACACACACACACACACACACACACACACATATATATATATATATATATATATATATATATATATATATAAAATGAGATAATCTGTAACTAAACCTTTTATATGAATGAGAGCAATAAGAGAGCAATTTTAAACAATTTTTACAAATAAGTTACCAAATAAATGCAATAGATTTTTATTTAAATTTAATGAGTGTTAAACACAATTATATTGAGTAAGTAGTGGTAGCGCACACACTGGCTATACTATACACAACTGGCCTCAACAATATCCTCCACACAAATGGATAGCAATTAATTTACATTTTACTCATTCACACTCTATTAATGTTTTTATTTCTGGTGTTAAATCAATTGAATATATTATATATATTTGAAAACTTAATTTTCAGAAACACATATCATTTGCTATGAATACAAACAAAATCGTGAAATGAATGAATCAAATGATTCAATGAAACAATAAAATTAGAGTTTAAAGACTAGTTTAGACTCAAAATGAAAAACAGCACAGACTTAAAATAAAATGCTTTTAAGCATTAAATTAGCGATAATTTGTTTGTCTTTAAAAAGAGAGAGAGAGAGAGAAAATGATTTTATTATTATTTTTTCCTTAAGATGAAAGGGAAGGGAGAGCGGGAAAGACATGTTATATTATTATTAGTTATTATTAAAATGCTTACAAATCCATATCCTCGCGATTTGCCGGTCTGTCTATCGGTTATAACAACGGCTTCTTCGATGTCACCAAAAGACTCGAAAAATTGTCTCAAAGACTTATCGGTCGTATGATAGGGAAGTCCGCCGACAAATATCTTTGTAAATGTTGTGTCCTTTTGTTGAGCACCCGAACCATTAGCCGATTGTGACAAATGATTCAATGGATCGTTGGCTGAATGAGTTGGTAGAGTTGCCATCACCAGAAAGTCGTTATAGTGATGCAATTTGAGGCCATACGGGTCGGCACCAGCTGTCGACAGTAGTGGCCAAGTGGCGGCCGATGCCGAACCATTGAGGCCACAGTCGGCCGATAAATGGTGCAATGAATTGCCGTTTTGTTGAGAACTTGCCGTCGAAAACATAATTGTGGATCTATTTAGTTAAACAACTTGTCGACAACAACTTGTTTTCATTAAATAGCAATAAACCGATCAATAAATTTGGACTTTTATTGGACACAAAAGAGTCGTTTAAAGACAAGACAGACAGTCAGTTGTCTTAAGTAAATCACAAGCAATTGATTAGTTAGTTAGTTGTGTAACCAAAATGTTTGAAACAATTATATCAATCAAACAAATTTGTTTCGTTTTTTTGTGTTAAACACTTCTTGCGATAACAAACCTAAATGTTATGTCAAAGACTTTTTTATGTGATAAACAACATTCAAGTTTTGGGCGCAAAAACAACCAAAAAAAATTTGTCACCAATTTTTGATTCAGAAAACTTCTTTGACTTGTATGGGTTGTCAATGGGTTTATCAATGGATCCAATTAGTGGCAGTAGTCTTCACATATGTGATGGACACAAATAGCGGTTGTTGTTCTTCTTCTTCGTCGGTGTTGTTGTTTATCTGACAAAGCGATGCATCGATTGGTTTGTCCGTTATATATATAGATATAAATATCTTCGGCTGACTTATTATAGTGTCGTTCACGAGTGATCATGTCATTTGACGGGTAATAGTCAAGTAGTGGTTGTGTTGACCACTGAATACCAACAACAACAACAACAAGAGAGTTGATCCACAAAATTTGATGTCAAGTGTTTTGGGTGACAACACCACAGACAGACTTTGTTGTGACTTCTTGTTTGTGACACTTCACTAACTATTATACAAAACAAAACAACAATTGAGTCAATAGTTTGTTTTAAAACAAACGACTCGTCAGACGGTTAGACACACACTATCAGTGCGACAGAGAGTCAGTGCTTATATGACTTTCCTCTCAATACATTCAGAGAGAGAGACTTACAGTAATATGCAATGCATTCGCACAGTTAGTCAGTGAATCCACAGTCATGTGATCATAGAGTGAGAGAGAGAGAGAGAGAGATGCTCTCAGAGTGTATGACTTGACTGTGCAAAAGGACTGACTGTGAGGACGGCCTACAACAACAACACACACATAAAACCAGTGCCTTAAGACACACACACACACACACACACAGAGCACTCAATGCTATTATGATATTATATCAGTGATGAAGAAGAAGAAGACACTGTTAAACACATTTAAAGAGTTTTTTGTGTGACTAACAAACAACACAATAAAGTTAGTTGTGATGCACTGTTAGTTTGGGGGCACTGGGAGAGAGAGAGAGAGAGAGAGAGAGAGAGAGAGAGAGAGAGGGCACACAAAAAGTCTATAAAAACTATACCAAACATCACATCCCAAACAACCATCAAAACACATAGACATAGACAGACAGTGATGTCAACTGTTTCTCTCTTAACTCTAAATGTATGGCATATCATATACTGTATATTATATAACAACATATATACAGTGCTTTATAGCCCTAATATAATGCTAATTATTACTAAAAATAAATTTTATTTTAACACTTATTGATTGGTTTTACGATTATTATAATTCACTAAATTTTTTGTGTTTTTTGTTTTATTATTATATTTTACTTTTAGAGAGAGAGAGAGAGAGAGAGAGAGAGAGAGAGAGAGAGAGAGAGAACATAAAAGTAAAACAAAAATATATATTTTACATAACAGTATAAATTTTAATATTATAATATAAATAATACTCTATTGTTAAACTACAATAAGTCACTATAAATATATGCATGTGTGTGTGTGTGTGTGTGTGTGTGTGTGTGTGTGTGTGTGTGTGTGTGTGTGTATCTGTGTCTCTGTGCTATCAAATAGTTTTTATATATTTTTATATAATATAATTTTTTAGATATTTTTGATGCAATTTATGTCAACTCCAATATAAAATTTTTGAATCACATATAATATATATATATAAATTATATTATATATGACTCTTATATATGAATTTCTAAACCATTTCTAAATTGCTTTCACACACAAGAAATAAATCAATAAATATTATATATATTATATTATTTTTTATATTCTTTAACAAAATAAAAGCATTTTTCAAATATAATACTTGATATCATATATTTTTAAAAATTAATTATATTTGCAAGAAAAACAAATAAAATACATATAACATAATTATTTTATAATTTTTATATAATTTATATTAATCTATACAAAATTATATTTTTAATATTTATTATTTAATATAAATATAATATTAGAAATGTATTATTTGCATAGATGTTGTATATATATATATATATGTTTTTGTTGTTGTTGTAAGTTTAATCATATTATTTTTCAAATATATAAATTTAAATTTTTAGAAAATGTATTTTTAAAATGTTTGTCTAAAATAATATTTCTGATATATATATATTTTTTGAAAAAAATCTATTTATTTATAAGTAATACAAAATTTATACTCTACTTTCAAGTCATTTTATATTTTCTTTAGTAGTGTTGTAAACAAAAACTAATTTATCGTCAAATCTCTCTCTCTCTCTCTCTCTCTCTCTCTCTCACACACACACACACACACACACACAGTATTTCACTTTGTTTTTTAATATATATTATATAATATCTATAAAACTTTAAATTTTTTGTTAGTTTTTTTGTTGAAAATAAGTAACTTTTTTGAAAGAAAAAAGATTTATGAATTGCCACTAAAACAACAAAACATTATTTTGGAGTCAAATATTGTGAACTAACGACTAATCGAGAAATATCTTTTCAAAAATCATTTGATGATTGAATTCTATGAACATTTAGCTGTAATAATATTTTTTATATATATTTACTGTATATTCTAAAGTTATAAACAAAATAAAGGGATATTTTCACACAAAAATATAGTGTTTTTGCTATAAAAATGATGATATAAATGAATGAATGAATGAAATACAATAAAAATGTTTTCCACTTTTCTTTTTTTTTATTTTCTTTATTCTTAAATTTTTTAGAGAGATTTATTAGTTTTAATTTCCGATGTGTTTGACATTGCTTTCAGCGCAGAGGATATAATAAGTTATATTTAAATGAATATTCATTTGACACTTGATTTATATTACACATTGATTTTATTAGACAAAAGTATGGATATGTCATCGCAAAGTGAAAGTGCTTTTGGCCACAAAAATAGGATTTTTTTCTAACTCTAACTCTCTTTTTCTTTCTTTCTTTCTCTTAATAAAAGTTCAAAATGTTGACTAATATTATTAAATAAAATATATACTGTATATATTCTGTATATATTCTGTATATATTCTGTATATATTCTGTATATATTCTATATATATTCTATATATATATAAATTTTTAAAAAGTTGTAAACAGCATAGTATCAATAAAATGTGTTTTTGAAAATAAAACTTAACTGAATATTCATTACAAGTCAAACAACTAAACGTTTTATTTTATTTTATATATTTTTTTGGGAACAATTGTCAGTTACATCCAATAGTATAGGAGTATCGGTTGATTTGCCAAAAAAATGAGTGGCAACTGTTTTGTATATAATCTTTCCCTTTTTTTACAACAACAACAAAAAAACTTAACAACATTTCATATGATTTTCTTTAGCAAAACCCCCAGTTATATGTTTTTCAATAGGATTTTATTTTTATTTATTTTACTGTTACAATCATTAGCCAATAAATGTCAATTATATTAAATATCGATACAAACTGATAAAAAATATAAGATAAAAAAATAAGTTCAGTTTACGCCTGATTTTTAACCAACAAAAAAATATATATAAAGTGTTTATTTTCTGTAAACATATCAGTTTGTTAATCATAGTATACTATATATTATGACACCCGACATATTTTAAATATATTTTTTTTTGCTATAGATATTCATAATTTTTTAAAACTTCAAAAAATATATTATTAATATATAAGCAAATCTATTGAAAACTTATATTTGATAGACTAATTTGATTTACTGTATAATAAAAAAAATAATAATAATAACTATAATAATATAGTATGTTTATTTACAAACATTTATTGTATAAGCTAACTTAATTGACTAACTTAATATATTTCTATATCAATTTCAAATAATCAATCATTTAATAAATAAAATAAAAAAATTAAACAAAATTTTCAATATTTTTTTAATGCTATCAAAATAAAGTGTCATATTTATAAATAATTTGAATATTTATCAATTATTATGTTTCAATATTATTTAAGTAAATCAATCAATTTATATAAAATAATAAATATGAATTAATATACTTATACTACTGTATTACAGAACTATATTATTATTTATTTAATCAATAAGATATTTTTAAATATTAGTAAATATTATACTATAATAATTTTAAGTATATAAAAATAAATTTTAAAATTTATAAATAAAAATTTTATTTACATTTTTATTAGTTTTTATATATAATAATAATAAAATTAAACATAATTTACATTATTAAATAATAATGCATGTATATATAGGCATAATAAGATATTATTTTTTTGAGGTTAGCTAAACTCAAAATTTAATATTAAAATTGACTTTTATTTTTATTATTTTTTTTAATTAAAATTGCAATTTATATAAAAACATTTATTTTTAATCTAACAAAATATAAAATTTTAAAAAACTTGTTTTCAAACAATTTAATGGCAGAAGTTTGACTCCAAACAAAAATATTTTAGTAGAGATTTATTTTCATCTTATTTAACAACATTATATTTTTGTAGATAATTTTTAAAATGTCAAATATGTACTCAAAAAAGGCTAGCAGTTATTTAATAAGCTAGGCAAATAATATATATACTATCAAATATATATATATATATATATATATATATATATATATGTGTGTGTGTGTGTGTGTGTGTGTGTGTGTGTGTGTGTGTGTGTGTGTGTGTGTGTTTCAGTTATTTAATGTATTAAAATAAATAAAATAAAAAATTTTGAAAATAAAGTTTAAAAAAAACATTTTTTTTCGACAAAATTACAGTAATTTTATTCTTATCATTGAATGCCATCTGAAAAGAAATCATTGATAATATATATATATTCTGCCATTTAGTTTATAATCCAAAAGCTAACATATTTTTATTTTGATATAATTTTCATTTACTTTTTTTGTTGATATATGTTATATAAATTTTATATTACTATATATAAGAAGACCATTTAGAAATAGTTTGAAATTAGACTGACTTTACTTATTTAATATTACAGTATTCATATATAGATAGCTATCATTTACTGTGTAAAATAACCATGATAAATTGTATTTAAACTAGCATTTTAAAAGATGAAACACTATTACTTTAAATAGCTTACTATTGCGACACTTTTGTTACATAATTATAAATAAAACCAATTTTTTATATATAAATATGACTTCAAAATATTTTTATGATAAATATGATTTGCGAAATGTGTGTTTATTTGTATATATATACAGTATATACAGTATATGATAGATATTATTTAAAAACAATTATTTTAGACATTGTTTTTTGCTTTATTTTTTAAAAAACAAAGTTTACGAGTGTATTAAACCATTAAACTGTTGTTATGTAATATTAAAAAATAATTATTTCAATTGTTTTTTCATAGGGGGGTTATTATTAGTCAATAAGAAAATGATACCCACAATGATTGAGATTTCCTGTACAAACAGCTATTATTGGGTATTTTACAAAAAGCGAAAGTCAATCCTAATGTTAGATCGTTTTGCAATAACGATAGTAATATACTATAGAGTTAGTGACGGTATGACTGAAAGTTAGTTTCTTGAAAGTTATGCTTATCGGCAAAAATGGCTTATCGTTTAAATCGCCCAAACATTCATTCAACTCTCGACT